CAGCTATGGCCGCCAGTGTGAATACTTCCTGTTGGAACACTCGTGAGATTTTCTATGGAGGGCTCCAACGCAGATGAGTTGTTGGAGTATCGTGCTTGTGGTGCAGTCTCCCAACAAGTGCTGCAAGCACTTATGACACAATTAGCTTTTGGCCATACACTTGCTGTGCACTACAAGCATAACTTTCGAGGACTGTCAACTGTATCGAGGACTGTCAACTGAACCTTAAAAAAAATGCCGTAAATGCTCAAATATTTCATGGTAATTCGCGACTCCAGCGACCTATAGGGGGCGCCACCACCAAACAAACATGGCGGCTGAGTCCAGGTCGCGGCGGCTCGGCCGGGCCGCCTGAATGGGTGGCGCGTTCAATTTAACAGATTTTGTTTTGTTTAATGTCCAATTTTATAGGTATTTGAACTGAGACGGTGAAGTGTAGCCGGTGCAGATAAACTTGCAAAGCATAGTTTTGTTTTGCAGTGTGTTTTTTTGTTCTTTTCGTGTCAAACTTTCGTTTCGGCGATTTCGTTCAAAACCGAAACTATGGGCTCCGGAGAGACGGTAATATACTAATCAGTTTTGATCATCTAAGGAAAGCGGCGATGACTATAGAATTGTTCCACAGATAGTAATTTTTCAGCTAACTCGCATGCCTCGACCATGCGACTTATCTGTCCGCAGAATCGAGCTTTTGTGCGTATCCGCGTTTACGAAACAGCTCCAGTCGTCTGCTCGGCCATCAACACAGGCTGCAGGAAAATTACGAAAATTGAGCAACCGCTTTTTGAGCCAAGGACCATGTTAACCCGCCGGCGCCCAACTAAGCAGCTGATACTCGTATTTCAATTCAGGTTTTAGTAGCAATCGAGAAGTCATTTTGACGAGCGGGTTATGTATTATATTACGTGCTATGGTCCCACTAAAGCGATATTAGTATATCCTTCGGGTTGAAATATGAGCTTAGTTGACTAGCTATTAGGTGAGCTGCTGAATAAAAGTATATTTGACAGACGAACATACCACTTAAATTTAGCCAAATGGTTCTATAGCCGGCAGCACGGAGACAAACTGAAGAGAGTCTTCATTAAAGATCCACGCAGAACCTCTCTGCATTGAACTTTACTTCGAATCCTGAACGGAGAAAATTAGTATTTTTCGTGGCCGGTCAACCTGATCAATGTAGACGTATATTACTGCTGGCTTCGACGTCCTGGTAATATAAATATTGGAAGCGCGATAGGTCAAAATGCCGTGGCAGCATTTAACGTTGCGAGACTTGTCTCCCACCTTTTGAAAACAAATAATTTCCCTCATTCATCATTTGCAGCGAGCAAGTTTTCCTGAATCAAGTAATTGCGAAATCAGCCCAACTCCTTCAGTGTGGTCCAGAGGCTTTTTCGGCGAAAAGCAGCCAAGATGAATAGCCAACGCACCGACCGGCGTGGGTGGCTCAAACTTGAACCTAACCGAACACAACCAAACTCAAGAAAAGCAGCTATCGAACCTTCCCATTCACTTGACTGCAACATTGATGTTCCCTCCAGTATCAGTTACCAAGCAGTCGTCACTTTGAATGTGATTCGAGACAGACAAGAAATCAAAAAGTTTTTCCGTGATTCCTCCCCATCCAAGAAATCGAAAGCACGCGACCGTGTGCTGTGGAGTAAACGGGCGTTCAAACACGTGGTTGAAGGAAACAATCTACTGAGGCTTCACCACACTAATGATCACTCAGGCAAACTTAAGAAATATTCGGACCTTCGTCAAATTACATCGTTCGCCACCGCGCCGACAACACGTCTCCGCGAAAGCCACCAGAGACGCGGAGGGGCGCGGAGCGACCTGGACCGGCTGGTTCCCGGTTTTCCCGCTTGGCGGCGACCGTTTTGCTGGAGTCGCGAATAAAGCCATGCCTTGAAATTTCACAAGCTAAAAATTCAAGTTTTTTTTAGTGTCCCCAACCTCATGTACTACCTAAAAATAATGTAAAAAAAAAGTGTCTTAGCCCAACTTTTTACAATAATATTAGCACTGCAGGAGCTCTTGGCAACCACTTACAGATGCAAAAGATCACATCAAATAAAAAAAAAAAAAATGGCTGGACTTTCTCTGGTTCTCTTAATCCCAAGAACAAGCCCAATGTTGACTCTATTAGCAATACGGTTTCCAAAGCTGCAATTTGTAATCCTCGTGCACAAGTAGCTAAAGAAACCAATTCATGGAGAGAAAACCATAAAGGGGCTGCAGTTCCCTCAATTTTTGACGAAAGCTCCGAAAATTCTTTGACACCAAGACAAAAAGAAAAAAGGGAGGCATTTCTCCCTTCTATTTTTTTTCTTGGAAGCTGAAAGTCATAACAAGAGAAAAGCATCCCCAAAAGATCAGTTCCACACATCTTGCTCTCCGAAACCAAATGCATCTCATCTCTTGGTAGAGGTGGACTAGTCCATGGCCCGGCCATCTTTTCAAGTTTTGGTGCCAGACAAAAAAAGAAAAATACTCGGGCTACTTGGTACAGCACACGTGGACAAAGAAGCCTCTGCCCGGGTGCAACTGGCCTCGGCACTGAGCAGAGTGAAAGAGCTGGCCCCGCTAAGCTAAGCTGAAGGCAACCCTCTTTCCGATACCGGTTAAAGCCAATGTTGCAACATAAAAATAAAGGTGCCGTGAGCGTGCGGTTCCAAAAAAAAAAGTAACGTGGTGGCCAACTCTACCAAAAGAAATGCTGCATTTAGGAGCAAGAGTGGCACAGTGCGACACCAAAACCTGAGAAGGTGCACCGAGCGTCACCTCTCTCCCAAGAATGAGACACACTGGAGTCCGACGAAAAAGTGTGCTTCACTGTCTTTTATTAACATGTTCTGCGCCGGCTTTGGGGAGTCGCCGCAATGACGTTCCACGGCCCCGCCACGGGGGGAGGAAAGAGAAAACAGGCGGCCCCGTGTGCCCTTTTGCTCATAAATACTGGGAAGAGGAAAACAACCGAGGACGCGGGACTGCAAAAATCAAAGCGAGTAAAAAAATGAACACATCCAGATGGACCTAGATGAGAAACTAATGATGACCAGCCTGCCTAACGAACCTCCTCCCACCTCAAAAGAAAAGGAGGGAGACTAAAAAGAACCGACCCCTTCCCCCCAATCGACCCCTTTCTGCAGAAGGCCAACGTCGCATCACGCTCTGCAGCTGCGGCAGGGTGGGAGAACAAGCAACGAAACGATGCCCGAGCAAGAGGAGCACACCGAGGCAACCTCCCCTCCCCTCCGCCCAAAGGCCCACCCTTTGCCCGGAGGGGAAAAGGAGGCGAATTTTCTTTAAAAGGTCCTAGGTACTATTTAGAGTCCTTTGCACTTTCAAGCTCCCGCACACAAGCACGTATCACACGGCAGGGAGAAGACGCCCGCTGTCCCTCGCTCAGACGGCGCAGGCCTGTGCCTGCCACACTCACGCATATACACACACATTCTATGTACACTTTTTGTCTTCTTTCACAGAAAAAAGAAAAAAGGGGAAGGCCTAACGACGTAAATTTACACGGCGGCGCACTGTACGCGCCTACGCCCCTCAACTAGCGACGACCGAGGGCCGCTTAAGATTTCAGCTTAAAAAAAAACTGAGGAATGGACAAAAAAAAAAAAAAAAAAGATCTACTCCAGGCTTCGCCTAGAGCTCCTCGAGTGGCGTGTCCGCCGCGACCTCGTCGTCCCCGCCCTGGAAGACGGAGGAGAGGGAGGAGGCTCCTCCGCCGTGGTCTCCACCACCGTCTCAGCCGTGGTCTCCACCACAACCGTGGAGACCGCAGGGGGCGGCATCAGCTCGGGCCCCAGAGCGTCCACCACCACCTCTCCAAGCACCGGCACCACATCAGAGTTAAACTCTTCAATCGCTTCTTCGCCCACGCACACCTCCATGGGCTCCTCCACCACGACATAGTCCTCATCCGCAACCTGCTCTTCGACGTACTGCTCCGCGTAACCCTCCTCGCCAAGCATGGATAGTATCTCTGGAGCCAGCTCCGGCATCAGTTCCCTGATCATGTCCGGGGTCAGTTCGTAGACCACTTCCGCCTCCTCCTCCTCCTGGCCAAGCTCCTGCCCCGGCTCGGCCAAAAACTCAGTATCGAACACGACTTCCGTTTCCACAACTTCCGTCTCTACAACTTCCGTCTCCAGGACTTCCGTCTCCACCACTTGCTCCACCTCAAGCTCAGGATTGGGCTCGAGTGCCGGCTCAGATTCCGGTTCCGACAACTTTTCGGTTTCCGACACGCTTTCCGAGGGCGGCTCTGCCCTTGGTTTGAGTTCCTGCTCCGAGCCAGAGTCCGACTCTGCTGCCCTCGCGCGGCGCGTCCGTATGACCAGATTTGGATTGGAGAAAGGCTTGGGCGCGGCGGCATTGCCCCCGACGCCCGGTTGACGCACCGCGTGCTTGTTCACTTTCAGAGTCTTGGGGCTACCGGGCAGGTTGTTACAGTGGTTGCCGACAGGCCCCGCAGAGGGGGTCCTAACCGGTGCTCCTGGAAGGTTTTTGCCATGACTTCTAACGGCAGCAGAGGCCTTGTCCATGGGTGCCGCTTTGGACACCAGCTCTAGGGTTTTGAGCCCATACGCCTTCTCGTCCAACGGAGACAGCTTGATGACGGCAACCTTGTCCGTGGAGGGTGTTTTGAGCTTTTTGGCATCGGACGGCACCTTGACGGGCGACAACTCCGTGTCCGCCTTTGCGGTGGACAGTTTCGAGTGCACGCGCTGCGAGAGGTGGTGGTGGTTCAGCCCCGGTGCCACCGTCCCCTTCTTTTTCCGAACTGCTACCTCCTCCACCTCCTCCTCCTCCTCCGTCCCCTCCCCTCCACTGACAGAACTACCCCGCTTGCGGGAAGAGGCCCTGCTGGCGCGCCTCGTCGTAGGCCGGGGCAGGCCCCCGTTCACTTGTGGGGTGGTGGCCTGGGGTGCCCCCCTGTGGGACCTGCTGCGGACTGTTGCCCTCCCCTGGTTATGCACCTGGGCGTGGGCGTCCTCCCGCGAGTACACCAGGGCGGGGCCCTCCTCCTGCTCCCGGCCCCCGGCCCGACGCTCTTCCTCCTCCTTGATGGCCTTGAGTCGGCCCAGCTCCCAGTCCTTCTTCTGGGCCTCAATCTCCTCCTGGGAGAAGAGGGGGGGCATGTCAACAAATGCTTACCTCAACCCGGCCAGGACGAGCCCTTTCCGCCGTGGCCACTAATGAGAAAGCAAGCGTGGGTCTCTTCTTGTTCTCACAACTACACTCATATCTGCCGTAATATCCAGTCATCGTTTACCCCCCTGCCACCTGCCTGAAATGCATTAAAAAATGGGGAACGCCATCTTTTAACGAGTGAACACAAAAAGTAAAAAGTTGTCAGGCAGGCAAACAAGGTAACACATAAAAAAGCAAGAAAGAACCTGAGCGTATCGATGCAAGACATCGCAAGCCAGGGTCAAAAAGTCCTTGGAGCGCTTTGTGCAACGACTAAAGCGCAACGACTAAACTCGAAACAAACAAGCGCGCTGTGTGGGTTAAGCGCAGACAATGCCTTCTTTGCTTTGGCTCACTTCTCTTCAACTTTCTTATCGCAACAGATTTTTCACGTACCGGGGTCCCTTTAGAAAGAAAGCCCACCGAGAGAAACTTAGGTAATCAATACTTCGACACAGGAATCTTTGAGTTGAAGAGGGATTTTGTAGTAACGTATGATTTAAACAAGAACAGGAATGTTGATGAACATGCGGTGGTACTTAGTTTCATTTTAGAAAACGCTATATCTGCAGTGACGTCGGGACGGCGACACCCAACGTCGCGCGACCACTGTGACTGGAAGGCAGGGACCAAGTAGATTTCCCAAGGCTGTTGCTTTCACGAGCGAGTGCTTCATTCACAAAGTAACTCCCGCCACGCAAAAAATTGGTTTCGTTGCACAGCATGACGGCATGGCTGGTACCCGGTACGCTATAGCGTCGGAGCCTCCGCACGCACCCGCGTCTATCAATGAAAATATATATATATATAAAAAAAAAAAGATGTGAGACGAGACCCACGAGACGACGAGAGCACGCAGGACCGGATGGACAATTGATGCAGCGTACTTTGCGTCAGTCCGCCGCTTGAGCCACATAACACACGCATGTTCAATTACAGTGCTGAGTTTCGTTTCGGTTTTGAAAGGGGACCTAATATGGTCTTTTGGCGCAGGCTTGGCATAGATTACCAATATTTTGGCAAAATGTAGCCGGATGTAGCAGGGTTAGCCCCTTGGCGCAGTTTTGCGCAATTGGCGCAGCAATCACATCACTGTCATAGTCTCTAGTCGTGGACAGAGTGAGAATGACAGAGAGCAGCCTCAGTTGTTCCGCCTCCAGCGTGGGCTTCCTAGTTTCAGTAACGCCTGTCTCATGCGCCTCGTGTGTGCATGCCCAACCAAAGCATACCAGAAGGCATCGATCGTGTGTTAGGGACTACCGTAAAATTCCGAGAGATAGCCCACCTAATATCAAGAGCAAATCGGGCGAAAATAGGGAGTGGGCTAACTTTCCTTATATAATTAAGAAAAGTTTTAACAATTGCTATTTTTCGATTGTGTCCCTTCCAAGCTTAATATGGCAAGGGGCAAAGATGACTGCACTTCCCAGTCAGCAGCGTTCGCTTATATCCTGCCGTAGCTAACTAGCTGCATTTACGTTGAAACCATCATTGATCCCAACATAACTATTACAGGGGTGGGCTGTCTTTTGGGGCTTCAAAATATAGCAAATCAAGCCAAAAATAGTGGTCGGCTATCTTTCGGGATTTTACAGTAGGCTTTTGAAAGAACTTTGCCGTTCTCACGTGTTTGCCGTAAAATGCGCCTCTAAAGTGTTCCCTTTTTTTTTTTTTGCCGATGTACAATGTGGGGTGGCCGACTTACAATTGTGTAAATGCGGTAGTTTTATTGTTTTATGCAAGAAATAGTTGTGAAAGAATGTTTTACCATTGCAAAGTCCGTTGCTTGCATGCAAACCCCACCGATTGGAACACAGCGCGAACGTTTGTTCCGTAAAAGCATGCTTCTAACACTCCTATGCTCTCTTCATTAGGAGGTACACATCGCGACACTGTTAGCACGAACACGACATCGGCGCATTTTCGCATTTTACTTCTAAATAGTATTAGCGAGCACGTATTTTTAACGCTTAGATTATAGAACTAAATGAGCTCTTCCCGTAGCGATAATAACTTGGATGACATCCCTTGGTTTCAAAAAGAAAAAACTAGAAAAACCGGCGATAGCTTGTTCGCGCTAACAGTGTCGCGCTCTGTACTTCAAAGGAGTCAACAAGAGAAAATAAAAATCAACCAGGGGCAATGAGCAAGAGAGCGAGCAGACGAAAGCAGCAGCGAAGAACGATGCTGGGGAAGCGGCAGTGGCGTCACAAGGGGGGGGGGGATTGCAGCACTCCTGGGGGGTGTCGCGGCAGGACGAGGGGGGGGGGGGGGGGGGGGGGGGGGGGGTGTGAAGGCGGGCGATGAGCCGGGGGGAGGGTGTTGCCGAGGGCCACCGCCCCGGGTGCCTCTGACCCTAGTGACGCCTCAGGGAAGCGGGAAAGCTGGCGATCGCGTTGGCAATTACTTTGGTGTCGGGCCAAGTTGGACACCTTGTCTATAACAAGGAGAAGACTCTTGTGTAACTTTCTTGTTTGGCATGTGTCTGTGCGGCATGCTATCAACATGGGTAGAGCTGGCGTAGCTGTGTGGCATGGACAGCACCACAAACACGAAGCTCGAAATGGGATGCTTTACGAACGCCTGTGTGGGGCATTCCAGCAAATCTTTATGTACTCGTTGGCTTTGTCTCACACATTGCACAACTGCAGTTGCGACGATCAAGGAAAAACGGACGGGTTCGCGGTGACCTTACTTCGGCGGAGGCGGACTTTGAGCTTTTATCACTGACCTTACACTGCAAGGTTACATTCTATGATATAGGGCGTTCATTGACCTCGCTATCCCCGAATGAGTTACTGCTTGTGTCATCTTTCCATTGCTTGTTCTTCTGTTTCTTTTTGGTCTCAACAAAATTTTTCTTAATCAAAATTATGTCATTTTGTTATCTTCAATTTCCTTTCGCATGCATGTACTCCGACTTCGAGGTTGCAGAAGCCGGGTAGGAATGTGTATACAAAAGCGAAATGTCTTTTCCTCCTTCGTTTTACTTTGTCACGGACGTCCTCGAACCGTAAGGTCCACGGCCGCGTCTTCGGGTACGATGATTGTTTGCAGATCGCGGAGTCCACGTTGGGGTATTTGTAGGGGTGGGCGATCACTCGGTGTTTTTTTTTTTGGAAATCGATATTCGTCCAAAAGAGGGGTGGGCGATGACTTGAGGATGGGAAATGACTCTGGATATTACAATAGTTATTATGAACTCCATTAATATAAACACGTTCTATATAGTCAAAGTTTTGAGGGACAAACTGGGTAAATATGTGGATTTTCCCCTCAGTATTAGGGATGCCTTTTGGGGGAAACAGAGGTGTCCATATTAATGAGACATGACTGTATGGGAACCAAGTTTCTATTTCATGAAAAAGTCTTAATTGTTGTAGTTCCTCTTAAGGAGTATTATGTTAAGCTCCAATGCTCAGGAAGCCTTAAGGCTTGTTCACACATTTGTGACCGAGTACGACGGAGGGAGACCAGATCGGTTTTAATAGGGGTGTGCGAATACTCGAATATACGAATTCGAATCGAATAGAAAGTTCCTGAATAATTCGATTCGCGAATCGAATTTCTAGTATTCAGTCACTCGAATATTCGATATATTCGGCCAAAGACGCGCGGTCGCCGCGGAGCTGACAAAAAAAAAAAGCCGTTTTTCCCCCCGATGTAAGCGCCGTGATGTTAGACAAACCATGCGAAAAACAGCTCTTGGTCCTACCATTCCACAAAAATCTAACGCACAGGTTAGTAAAAAGAAAAGTAACGAGCGCCACGAACTTTATAGCACGAAGATTTACTCACGATTGTGATACAACCGACCCTTGAACCACAACCGAAACATCCCGTTTGCGCCGCTTCCAGTGAGGAATTGTTGGGAGGCCGAAATCCCGCGCCATGCCTATACTCTGTTTCATACTTAGCGTGCAACGTTGTCAGAGCTACTGGCGCGAGCTTGGGGCTTGATCTCGTTGATCATTTGCACGCGTTCTCGCTCAAACAAAACCATAGATGAAGCCACGCGCTCGCGCCAGTAGCTTTCACAGCGTTGCACGCTAAGTATGAAACAGAGTATAATTCTTTTCACGAGTAAAGCCCGTTTCAAATTGAAGCACCGATGTTAAACACACCTGCTTTTATTTAATTTTTTTTTTTTTCACCAGAATATTTTTACATTTTAGCTTTTGTTCTGCACAAGATGCATATTCTGCAACAGGTGCATACTCTGCACATATAATAATCTCTTTCGCAGCACACTTTGAAGAATTCCTACAAATAAAATCACTATTCGATATTCGGCTTTTTTTTCTTGATTCGATTCGGTATTCGATTTGAAAACTACTATTCGGTATTCGCACACCCTTAGTTTTTAAGCCTTTTGCGGCCTCTTAGGGCCAGCTCCACTGCGGTGCACCCGGTCCTAAGACGTCGCAAAAGGCTTAAAACTGGTCTGGTCTCTCTCGGTCTTACTCGGTTGCATATGTGTGAACGGCGCTTTAGTTGCATTACACTAGGGTTGCATATTTTACTACATAAAGCATGTAATCTGCTTAGATCCCCCAGTGTACCCTTTCAAATTACAACATCCTTACAAACAAAAGTGTCGCCAAATCATAAATTAAAACATGCTATACTGCACAAAAAAAAAAAAAAAAAAAAAAAAAGAAGACTAACTTCAGAACAGTGGCCAGGACAGTTACATACCTCGGCCTGCTTCAGCTGCTCCAGAGTCAACGGCTCCTGAAGTGACTCCAGGAACTGCATGGCATACTTCTCTACTGGTGATAACTGCAGAAATCCACAAGAGATAAAAGCGAATGAGCTACAGGTCATTCCGGTGCTACGGCCCAATCATTCCCCTTTCCTCTTCATTTTCTACGAGTCTACCAAGGAATACTGTACACTTTCTGACCCACTTGCCCCCCCCAAAAAAAACAATAGAGAGCACATCAAACAAAATTGCGCAGCATCGAATTGCATCATTCTATTCAAGCCTAATAGTCTATTATGGTGAATGCCACAACATGCTCGAAATAACTCATATGTCACGAGCGGACGCAGGGAAAAGCATAAAGTGTGCACAAAAAACATTTGTGGTACTATACAGAAGAGTTGTTTCGCATTTAATAATAGTTAATAACGGCAGCGAGTACTATACTCCGCGACAACTTTTCTTGGCAATGCAGTGGAAGGTACGTCCCGCGTCCCCTCTCCCATTTTGAGTGTATGCAGGCTCTCCTCCTCTCCTCGGAAATGGGGGAGGAGGAGAGCCTGCGTACACTCAGAATGGGAGAGGGGACGCGGGACATACCTTCCACTGCATTGCCAGGAAAAGTTGTCGCGGAGTATAGCAGCGAACTCTGGAATGTGATCCCACTGCATTTGTGCTACCATTGTTAAAAGGCCCAGGTAAGGCAGCTCCAAGTCCACATGTACTGTGGAATCAAGCTTATCTCTGGAATGTGACCCCACTGCATTTGCGCTACCATTGTGAAAAGACCCAGGTAAGGCAGCTCCAAGTCCACATGTACTGTGGAACCAAGCTTATTTACATCAAAAGAGTCACCATTCTTGAATTTTCACGAAGAAAACTTAACACAGATCAGTGGGACTGAAACCAGTTTGGGAGGCAAGGAGCCTCCCAAACATCAACCAAGAGGAGAGATATGGCTGGACGGCGACTCCAAAGGCAGACAGCAGGGCTGGTGCTGGCTTGCACACAATCCAGTCTGTGCCACGAAAGATTCCAGCCAGGCACCCCCACATCCTAGCGGCTTCTACCTCCGTGCAAGCCGTAAGCAATGCCGCTTCGGCCATCATGGCGCTTAAAATCGGTGCTGCCAGTTATTTGAAGCTTCATACCAAGTCGCAGGAAATGCATTTCCATCCTCCAGAAATGTTAAAACAGACCGTGACAGAGCAAGTTGACATCTCCCGAGCTTCCCGACGTCGCACCAAAAGCTCAGGAAGTCGCATTCTCTAATCGTAACAATTGCCAATCACACTTGCTCTGCACTAAGACCGAAATGGCTGCGCCCACAAGAAAATTGAGGGCCAAAAGCTGTAGGGCTTTCTACCCTCGACAAACCCCCCCTCTATATTGAATGGCAGCCGAGGCAACCCTCCCGTCTTATACCGGTTATAGTGCGGTTTTCGGAACAGCCCGGCGACCACGCCGACTGACCGACGCAGAGAGCACGCTTCCCTGTGCGACACTAGATAACGGCGCGAGCCGTAAGCGGCACTCGTGGGGCAAAGAGGTTGCTCGATGAAGCGAAGAGAGAGGCTTCAGTTGCCATGTCGACGGAGGGACGCACGCACGTGTCGTTCACGTGCGTGCGTCCCTCCGCTGCGTTAGAAAACAACCGCAACGACAGACCAATCGCAAGTCCAGGAGAAGTGTTTGCGCGCGTTGCACGCCGATTGCCGGCCGGCTGCTTCTATCCGCGAACATGGCGTCAGTTTTGAACGTCGACGTAGACGGCGTAGAAGCTCATCGTTCCGCGTAAAAGCGCTATCCTTGACTGTGAATTTTCGTTGTGTGTCGCTATGATAACCCAGCACGTACTAGAAGGGAAGATCCACCTACTCGTGCGGCGATGTTGTGGCGGCACTCTCAAGACGGAAGAAACGCCCATGCCGTCGTGTTTGTTTACTTCGACTACAGTGGTGCTTTCTAAGCATTTGTGTTTTCGAACATCGCCCGGATTTCTTCTTTGGAGCATTTCATGCCTGTGCTCAAGTTGAAGGTATTACGGGCGCGTACCGTATAAAGGATGCGAATTTTCACGAGTTTTCATCGCCGGAGAAAAGTGATTAGGGTTAGCAATCCTGAACGCTCGCAACGTTCGTCCGCAACCCGCGACGCCGTCAAAAGGCTACGCCAGGCAAAAGTCGCTCATTTCTTTCAAATTGTGTGACACACTTGAGAGAGGTGTACTAGTCTGGTGAAATAAAGACTTTCCTCATACTAAAGCTTTATTTTTCATCCAACATAAAATAAATTCTTTAACAAAGGTAAGTTGTCTGATGGCATGCATTTTGGCTTGAAAAATTGATGTTTTGGTTATAGTGCGATACCGCTTATAGTGCGGATTTTTGCGACTCCTGCGACATACGTTATATGCGGTCTACACTGTATTAGGGAGTGCTTGGGCCAAAGTTTTTCACCAATGAGCCACCCAAATTCACTAGAACACTGCCTGAACTGGAAATGTAATTCACTAAGGGGCAGGGACGCAGAAAGAAATTTGAGAACTCTGAGAACCCGTGAGGATGCTCTGGAGCAGTGGCTCTGAAGTGGGGTTCTGCAGACCCGAAGCCATTATTGGAGTCCGTGAAGCCCTCGCTTTAACCCTCAAACCCCCCCCCCCCCCCCCCCCCGCTCCCCCTCCCTAACCCCCATTAAAAAAACCTGCCTGGTCCATGAGCTTGTCGAGCTCCTCCTCGGCCTGGGACTTCTCCTCGTTGTCCCGGCTGTCCGTATCCAGGGGGATGGACTCGTCGAACTCGGCCAGCTCGGCGGCCGCCTCCGCCCGGGCTGTGTGGGCCGCCTGCACGTCCAGCTCCTCCTCCGCCATGCCCAGGGCCTTCTCAAACTCCATGGCCGAGAACTTCTCCGAGCCGTCGGGAGCCCTCTCTTCTGGCGGCCGGGGGGGCTCCTCCCTCGCCTCGTTCGTGTCGAAGTTGTTGCCAAACAGGTCCTTGAGGGTCGTCTGCAGATGCAGGCACGCCAACACACTATGCATTCAACTTCTGTCTCCACTACGGTAAGGAAGTCTGAGACACAGCTAGAGTTCACCTTGCAAGTTGTATACAGTGCAGGCACGAGCATGTGGCCTTTGAAAGTGCGCGAGTGCTTGTGCAAACAAAGCATCCTGCGGAACTATGCCCGAGCACACTGAACACAACTTACAATACAGAACACAATAGGTTCGCCTTCTTGAACACCACAAGAAAGGTGCCACAAATATAATGCGTTTACATTCTCTTTTTGAGCTGCCTCAGAGTTGATCTCGGCTATCACAATGTACAAATCCCAAAGGACTATTATTAATACCCAGGAACCTACCTTTTTGAAGAAAGCTGTTGTGAAGTTTCCACCTTCGATTGCAACGTCGCCCAACATCCTCTTCTGGGTGGCCTTCTTGAGGATGTTTTCCTCCACAGTCTCTCGACTTATTAGCCTGTCGTGAAAAACAAAGCATTTCTACTTGGGCTCCCCCCACAGCAGAAGCACCCAGCTCCACATTTAAGTTCACGGCAGACACCAAGCTAAGTAGCTAATCTCAAAATTAAGGAATGGAACAAGAGGAAAATGAAAGAAAGCAGTAACATGAGTATGACCTCCAAATAGCGTAAATCATGGCCATGAAGGTAAGAAAAATATCAACCGAATAAGCTCTGCAAGCAAATATAAACCAAAAATAATTTCCCTCCAAAATAGGGGGGAAAAAAAAAAAAAAAAGAGAAGTACACCATTTAGGAACTCTGATACTGTTAAAGTGCTACCAAAAACAATATTTTCTATGGCTAGGAGGGGACACTGCAATGGTGTCTCAATTCCTTCTCGCGTCTCAAAAACATACTTTTTCCACAAAAAATAAAGCGCTATTCAAATTGCAGTCTAAACGCTCGCCATTTTCCACATATTCCTCTAGCGTGCTTGAGCGCAGTGATTTACGAGAATCCGACGGCTTCGTGTCCCGAGGCTTTGGCGGTGGCCGTCACCTACACCTTGCTCATCCTCACATTAACTTTGCTAATCGGGCGGAAAGCTGGCGAGAGGAGCAGGAGGGACCTGCCTGTAGATGTGAACATCCCGGGTCTGGCCGATGCGGTGGCAGCGGTCCTGGGCCTGGGCGTCCATGGTGGGGTTCCAGTCCGAGTCGTAGAAGACCACAGTGTCGGCCCCCGTCAGGTTGACCCCAATGCCCCCCGACCGTGTGGACAGGATGAAGCAGAAGATGCGCCGGTCGGCGTTGAAGCGCTCCATCAGGGCCTGCCGCTGGTCCACCCGGGTGCTGCCGTCCAGCCGCAGGTACGTGTGGCCATGGTAGTTGAGGAACTGCTCCAGAATGTCCAGCATGCGCGTCATCTGGGTGAAGATCAGCACCCGGTGCTGGCCCCCCCGCAGCTGCCACAGCAGCCGGTCCAGCACCTGCAGCTTGCCTGCAACACGGACTAGGGTGTCAGGCACCAGGCTGGGCATGGCCAAGGCCTTACAGACTTCTATGTTCTTCATTAACTTAGTTTTCAATGAGTGTTTCTCAAGAAAGAGCCTAAACACTTGTTCTAGGAGCTCCTAGAGCGCACGGGCTGCAGCCGTAACTGTAGGAGAAGAATAAAAAAGAGGACGATTTGCTCGTTCAAACGGGACCTGACTGGTCCCGTTTGCTCGTCCGCTCGCCGGAACACTAAATACCGAACACAACACCACCCAAGCGCTTGGTGTCACTCTACAGCAGTGGCATCGCTCCGGTACACCAAAGTGTGGACATTCGACACATGTCCTTGCTTTACTTTACACTCCATTTCACCTTCCAATGAACTGCTATGAACACTACAAGCCACTGGCCCAGAGGCCTTCCACTCGGGTGGAGATTCGCACAAAGCGTGAAGTCACTGGTATGCATGAAGCACCACATTAGTTAACATGGCTCGCAACGTTTGTTGCGGCAGTACATTACAAGTTGAAACCGAGTAAAATTTCTGCACGCCCACCACATACACCAGAGTTGGCATACATCAGCTCGCCCACCTTATTACTTCAGTTTGCACACAAAATGGTGAATGCAGAACCACAGAAAGGATCCAATTGCTTCTTTTAATGCAGAATGTGTTTTATTAGCCAGTTATCATGGAGTTCTGCAAGGTATGGCTGTAGCAGCCGTCTGTAGTGGCTGACTGCAACGACACCGAACAGCCTATAGGGGACCATATAAGAAGACTTCAATCCCACGCAGGATTTGAACACCTTATGATTGCGAGCCAGGTGCTTTGCAAACTGAGGTGTCCAGGGCCGGTAGTCGGATCTTTCAAAAGCAATGTCTTCGGTGCGGTGCGCGTCGGAGCGGTAGCACGCTACGCCCTTCTCTTCTTCCCTGGAAGGCCTATTACACGTTCTGTGCTTGCCAGCCTTTGTCAGCGTGATCGAGCTTGTATAACTTTTGGGTGGTTGTACATACAAAGAATCCTACTCTTCTGCCCTTACCAGCACTGCACACACCGCAGAGATAAAGAGGGGCCGCATGTTGAGGCAAGGTGGAAGACAGCAGACTCACCACAGTCGTATTGGATGAGCCGCAGCTCGGGGAACTGCGTCTGGAGGTTGGCCACAATGGGGTGCAGGAAGGCACACTGGGGCCCCAGCTCGTCCCTCAGGCGCTCCTCCAGCACCCGCTCCGCATTGAGAGACGAGGGCGACGGGTGCGAGACCCGCATCTCGATCCGGGGTGCAGTCACCCCGGGCACCGCAAACACAAACCTGGACAAACATGCACACTTGTCAAAGTGGGTCCTACCAGCCCCTGTTGTCTTCTTGTTATGTTGTCAACATTGTTCTTAAACCTCATTTCATCTGGCAACTGTGTTGTACACAATTGTTTCTGCTGATTGTGAAAAGTAAAGCACACTTCATTCACCGTTACGCTTTAGATTGGTGCAATAAACATAGTTAGCAATCTGTCTGGCATTAGTAATGAAGAAGAGCAACCCAAGAAGCAGCCCCAGAGGACCCACCTGGTGAGCAGGTCCCTCATCTGATCGAGCAGCTGGGGCGGGGTGTGGACGAGGGAGCGCAGTGCCCGGGTGTAGCGCCACAGCTGGGCGTCCCCCTTGGCCGGGGCGTTGAGGCAGGCCACGTAGCCCGTGCCCCCCCAGCGGCAGCGCAGCGGGGGTCGGGGGTCCTGCACTACCGTCACCGCCTCCACCAGGTCCCGGCCGTATGTGGGGCAGGCCGCGCACCGCAGGGCGTTGGTCTGGCCGAGCAAGCGCAGCTTGTCCCGACGCTGCTGCCGCCGGCGGTTCTCCAGGGACTCCTGCAGGGAAGAGGGGGTGAACCTCCCTCGCCAACCGGTACTGGCAACGAGGGCAACCCAAAGCACTGCCGTGATCGTGCAAAACTATCAAAATCGACTTTCGATAGTGGAAGCCAAATCTCACTATTGATACTACACTATTGTGAAACCATCTGTGGCCAACTATCGTAAAGCCATCTAGGAAATGTCGTAAACTCAGAGAAAATGCAACTGGATAGTTTTGCATCGGTACATGGTAGGCCTACACATCTGACCAAACACTCACTCCGACGTCTTCACGGTCGCCGGCAGGGTGAAAATGGCAGAAAAGTCTGTCCCGCCTCCAGGATGAGCTTCCTTCATTCAATAATGCCTTGGCGTCTCGTGATGCTCAAACATGCAAGCTGCACACACAGCCAAAGCACGGCGAAAAGGCAACGAGTGCTTGCTGGGCGCTAGGCTTCCAAAAGAGATGCCATCCTGTTAGACTGTGGTAGGATTAGCTCTGCTTTCATCGACAGAGTAGTGTCAGACTGTCATCTGCGATGGTATTTGTCTAGGAATGCAAGGCCTCCGAGCGCCCACAAACTTGTCGTTTGCAACTGATAATAAGTGTACGACGTCATGGCTAGGAAGCATAATAGGACACCACCTGGACATATTCTCACCAGTACAGATGGTAGCCGTTCGCTGCTCTGCACCTCCGGCGGAGATATAACAAAACTACTAAAAACAAAATATAACTTCATGCTGGATGTTAGGGTCATCCCAGACAAGCCACACAATCAGGTGTAACAACGAGCAGCATTCTGTGGTTGTGCAAACAAATTCTATGAACAATCCACCAGGGAAGTTTTAGCCGTTTACGTTTATTTACGAGCTGGAGATGTCAAAAGGGGTGTACTCTCGGTCACTAGCTCCCGCTCAGCAGACCCTTTTAACCGTTTGCACTTCCATCAATTTTGGCTACCCCACACCACCCTACAAATGTCCAAATAGCATAGACCATGTTTTAGAGCGCAGCTCTTAGGCGCCCGTTTCCGGCTTGAACGGCGTAGCCGTTTCTGCACCATGCCAAAACGTAGTGTCACACGATTGAGGGGGGTCCTGAGGGAATCACGTGACCTCATGGGGAGGGTCACGTGACCTCAGAGGGTCCTGAGGGGGGTCACGTCACCCCCGTGAGGTCACGAGGGTCATGCAACGTCACAGGGGTCATATGACTTCCCGGTTACGCCAACGGCGATGGAGGAGTAGCAGGCAGAAAGAGGAGGTGAGGAGGGGTATACCTTCCCCTCAGTACCCTTCCCTCCTCCTCAAGAGCTGCACTCTAATTTGGCGTTACAGGGAGTTGTAAACGGCTTTCTTTTTTTCTTTTTTTTTTCTTCTTTTTTTACAAGCATGCTTAGGAGACAGTTACACATTCCTGCACAGGCTCCTTGGCAATGTCTAAACTTTCCACGAGGTCTTTGTGAGTATCCACTATCAACGACAACCCAGGCGAAGAGAGTCTACTAATGGAGGCAGGAGCCTAGTGGTGTCTGGCTCACCAGGTAGAGGGGTCCCCGTGAGCTGGAAGACTCTGTAGATGCCGTGGTCCCCTTGACAGGACCTGCTACTGGGGCCTTGGCATTCACTGTTGCACCAAAACAAACCATCCTCCAATTACAAAAAGGACACAGCACCTCATGTATGTCTTTGCATCAGGCCCCAAAAGTCAGCAGCACGAACAGTGATACCTAGCTATCTTGCTTCTCCACTAACATCACCTCAATTACAAGTCAGCTTTAAAATGTAAGCTTAGAGGCTTACTTTGGAACCTAAAGGTCCATCAAGCCAGGTATATGAAACACTGGGTGTGCATTTCAGATCTCAAATGGCCATCTAGCCAGAAAAATTGATGACACGAGACCTCTAAATGCTGGCAATATCGAGCGGAGTTTCTAATTCCCCCAGTTTCTCAATAGCAAGGCGGGTATTCCCAGGAGGTTTTTTTCCATTCCTGCTTACTTGTCCCCAGCAAAAATACTTTGACGGTGCAGTGAAATACCACTTGAACCACTTGCCAAGAAAAGGTTTGCCCAACTGAATGCACTGGATACAATGGGGTCTTGCTGGAGAATTTTCCAAAAGCTTGTCACCCAAATAAGGTAACCCCTTATAAAGAAATCACTTTTCTCGAATTATTGCTTTTATCAAAGGTTCAACATGGTCCCGACCGAAATGCACGCGTTTTTAACAGGATTATTCGAAGTGTATTAAGGGGGGACACTGCTCCTTGAAACAAAAAAAGGACAAAAAAAATCACATTTTTGAAATTATGTTTTTTAATATCTACAGGTATTTTCGCATCTTTTCTCAAAATATTATCGCAAAATACGCCCTATTTATTTTGGGGTATTGATTTGAAGTATCTAAACGGAAATGCTTCCTCCGAAAAAAGCAAAAAAAAAAAAAAAGTACAATTTGACCGTTGGTAGCTCGAGAACAACGCGATAGAAGGGGGGGCATCTTGGTCTCATTTGAAAGCTCCGCTCCCGCTCTTCCTTCTCCCGCCATTCACGATGCTAGATGGCGATTGGCCGCCGAGAACGAAGCACAAATAAAAATCTAAATCTTGCCACGCGGTTGGCTGTTTCGGATCACGTGTGCAAATGGCGCTTTCTCATTGGCCGTTAGGGTTACGAAGCGTCTGCTTGTTGTTTCCGATCCACCATCTTGTTTGGTTCTCGTGCGCGTCTCTGACCATGCCGATCACAACAACTCCACGGAGAACGTTTCACACAGCCCACAATTTCGAAAAAAAAAACGAAAAAAGGGCCCGAGGAAGCTAATCCATGGTGCAGTTCAACTTCCCGCGAGCCTGAACGTCGATGACGAGGTGCGGGAGCCCGAACACGAAGATGTCGCATCGACGGTGCCGTCGACATCCTGACTTCAAGCGAGCGAGTGCGGCTCGACACGGTGATGCTCAGCGCTTCCGAGATCGACGAGAAAGAAAAAAAAGCCAAGGAAAAACTCGAAGAACTTTCGTCGACGTCCGCTACGACGTGGAAAGCTGACCTGATAGCTGGCGTTTCCGGCGCCGATCAAGAAGCTCCCCAGAGTACAGAGAGTTTCATCGTCGTAAGCCTTGACGTCGTGAACTCGCTTCTTCAACTCGCGAAGTGTAAAGCTTGTTGCGGCGATGTCGAACTCATAAAATGTGATCGCAGAGTATGGACTTGCAGTAAAACTCAAGCTATGTTGCAAGATCTGCGGGGATGTCGCATCCGAGTGGAGTTCGCCGAGGGTAGCAGTAAAAATCTGGCCGTGAACGTTTTTTGCTGTTTTCTCGAAATGAACTTTTTGCGCAGCTTGCTATTTTGCGGAAGCCGTATCTCGGCCTGTACACAACCAATCTTCCTAATTCTTTCTTTCTTTGGTAGGTGTATAAGTGGGGTATCCAATAAGGGGTCTAATTGCATCAACCTAGGCATCAGTATTTTTTGTTAGCACCTCCAATATAGATTGTAAAAATTAATTTATAAACTGAAAATTTCGAAATGCCGTAAAAATGTTATAAATAATCATGGAGCCTTCATTTATACCTTATTGGATTCTGTAGACCTTCTAGTTTACAGAGATATATTCCTTTTTGAGTTTTGTCTTCATAATTTTTTGGAATCTCGCCCATAAAATGTTCAAATAAAATAGTTAATTTTATCAAAACTAACAAGCGAAGTACATATTTGTCATCAGAATGGGAACATGATTATGCTCTATAAATTTCATTTGGATTGGACCATAAATAAAAAAAAAAAGCTCAAGAAGCAGTGTTTCCCCTTAAAGCTGACCACGCTTATTACGGAGGCCGCAGTGCCGAAAGCATGCAAGCCTATACGGAGGTGCACGGAAACCCTTGCGTTTTTTCTCCCTTCTCCACTGAGGCAAACGGCATACTGAAAAAACGGAGTAAACATGTGACAGAGGGCAGGGCATGCAAAGCTGGCAGAGTGCCGCTCCCGATGCCGATGCGCCGACGCGGGCAGGGAGCAGCAGCGCAGTGCCCACGCTCTAACGCTATTCACGACACCCATGGCCAATGCTGTCCAACTCCTGTCGGAATCGAGTTAAGGGAGCGATGAAGCCCGGAGATAATTGCTTCAGGAACCCCCAATGCACACTACACGCACACGTGAGTCGTACGAAAAATCGGAAATGTTTACCAAAGTCGCTTAGATCTGCAACATTGAGAACAGTGGCCAGCCCAAGTATTAAATCGCCAAAGAATTTGACATACCGCCATCGGCTCTTCGACACTGTCCACCATTCTGCAGAACTAAGGTATTGGACGGATTCGAGAAGTTTCTCATGCAAAGTGGAGTGCGGTGGCGGTGACTGTGTTACTCCACTTAATTATTTTTTTTTACTCGGTTAGAGCTGCCGTGAATGTTCCTAGCCAAGGTTTGTTTGGTTAAATATATGGTTAGAGTACCGTAGTGTTCCCATCTACCTTCAAAGCTGCTGGCACTGTTTTTTTTAATTCTTTCTTTCTTATCAAATTACCGCTTATATAAAATTTTTTTGCTGTCCCGTTGACTTCGTTATAATGAGGGATAACTGCAGTTTGTTCAACTGGAGTTCGTTGAAGCGGTATTTCAGCGTGCAATGTTTTGTCAGGAAAACGGCCTTGAGATGCCGGCACGACCGCAGTGCCCGTACCGTTCTTGGCGGCTGCTGCCAGCTGGTTGTTCACGTTGAGGGGCGCCACTCGCACCACGGGTTTTCCCCCAGCGGCAGCGGCAGGGACGGCTGTCACAGGGGCGTTGCCAGCTGAGCTGGTCACCATCCGTCCCACCTGGCTCAGGGCTGGGGGGAGGACACCACAGACTCCTCATGCCCCAGGAATGCCCTGCCTAAGCTTACACCTCGAATCGCACTCTGCTACTGCTGCGGCTCGGCTCAAATTGCCATTTACACTTGGTAAGCGTGCTTGCAAGACGTCATAGCTTATAGTGAAGCTTTGCCAAGAAAAGAACAACAGGCCATCTTATGTTGACAAAACTCGAGCGCTAAAATATATAATTTCCAGCTTGGAAACGGATGTCACGCAGCAGTGGTACAAAGTTCTAGTTTTACCACTTCGCTGCTCAAATGTGACGCATGCTCGGCACGAGCATGAGAGGCCCCCAGTGGCAAATTAAAGAAGAAAGCTCAATGAAATGAGACAATTTAGCTATATTCCTACATCCAGTAACTCTAGGGAGAGTGTACACTGCTAATGCTTACCAAAAACTGCCGCTTGCTTGCACACATACAACACAGACAAACATGTGCGTGCATGTACAATAGTGAACAATACAAGCTGCAACAATCCCTCACCAGTTTTGTCATACTTTCCAGTTTCTAAAAAAAAAAAAACTTTGGTTCAAACTTTGATGAAACACTAAGCTTACGAGCCATTCTTTGAACAGCGCGACAAATTGACAAATAATGGAAAATAAAGACATTGCGGAAGCAAAAAAAAAAAAAAAGGGGCCAGAATGGGTATTGCAGCTCAAATTGTCCGCAGGAAAATACACAGACAGGTCCTCAAGCAAGGAAGCAAGCAGCACCTGTAACCACCCTGCAGAAAGGGCCATACTACAATAGAATCTTGATGATATGAATCTCTTGGGATCGCCAAAACAATTTGCATCATTTCAAAATTGTATTATACAAAACAGCTCTACAAAGTAATAAAATATGCATACATACTCAGTGAGAACAGATGGCTCTGGGTTAGAAACTTGATTCAATCCCGGAGGCCATGCAATATAGCTGGTATTGCACTGCCTTAGGGATTCGTCCATTTTGTCTTTATTTCTCGAAGTTTTTACAACCCTAGCACTAGATGCGGCTAAAGAGCCTCGGCTAGGGCTACAGTAGAGCACCCTAAACCTAGTAGTAGCTCCTAACCATGGCGACTATGGCCCTGTGGCAGTCGCGATTTCTAGCGCCGCAGCGGCTGGCCTTGACTACCAAGACTGCACAAAGATCCGACCTATTGGATCAACAGTGATCGTATCATAGAGGTTCTACCATTCAGTCACTCACAAGATGAAATAGCAGGGCGTCTCTTTCCGAGGTCTGGCCTTCAGCACACAACCGCAGCCTTCCACTGTGTTTTAAATGTGCATGCAAGCTCATAACTCATGAGATGTCAAAGTGTCACTGACGGTAGCAAGCTCGTGCTAGAGGCGGGACAACTCAAGGACCACACTGCCATTGTCATCCTGTCACTGACTACAGATCATCCCTCTCCAGACCAGTCCGGACCACGCAACAGAGAATTTGAGCCCGAGAGGACAAACTCTTGAGGCCCTCACCCGCTGTGGTCCTGACCGCCGTGGTCTGGATGGCCGATGTGGCCAGCATGACCTGTTGCTGTTGCTGGGAGACTCCCCCCAGGGCCCCCTCCGCGTGGGCCCCCTGGCCGGCTGTCACCTGTCCCGCGGCCGGCGTGAGGAGCAGGTGCTGCCCGGTCGTCGTCTGTACGAGGCGCCCAATGCCGAAGGGCATCGAGAGGCGGGCGGGGCCGCCCCCGTGCCCGCTCTGCTGGATCTGGACCGTGATCGGGGGGCCCACCACCTGGTTCGAGCTCACTGTCCGTCCAGGGGAGAGGGAGAATGGTTATCGTGAGGAGAATGACAACGGTGGCTTCGTGGTGGCAACACTTTGTTTGGCCTCACTTGCATCGCAGTGGACGCTACGAGTCATTCTAGGTAATGTAGAGCAGCGAATGCACCACGCACGAAGCTGTACACTAGCCGAAGGCCACGAAACGATCAGGTCGCACTGGATTGTCCCCGAGGGTTTGTGGCGTCATCCGCGGTGTATTCCAAGGCAAAACCAAGTACGGGTGACTGACTATAAGTGTCGGTCAGAATTATTTCAAGCTCATGACGAAAGAACAAAGCCTCAAAATGTATGTAAAGAACAAAGCATCAAAATGTATGCGAGTCGGAAGAGTTCCGGGCCTTTCCGACACGACACCAATGTGCTCCCTTGCCGTAGGCCTTCTCGTGCAATCGTACGCAAATGTGTGAACGGGCTTTTAGAGATATTGCAAACTTTTGGCCTGCACGAGAGAAGAGCTTACTCACGTGCGTTGGACTTCTGCACCAGCTGCAGCATGTACTCCCCTCCGCCCGCGGAGGAGGAGGCCCCCTGGACACCCGTGGCCGCCACTGGGCTCTGAGCTCGCGACGAGGGTGCCGACCCCGGGGTGGACACCACCACCAGGCGCTGCTGCTGCTGCTGCTGGAGCAGGGGCACCCCGGCGGCCCCGGCCACCTGGGCCCCACCGGCTGCCAGGGTGCCTGCCCTGGCCACTGCGTACGTGGTGGCTCCGGCCCCCGAGGAGGGCCGCACGGCACCCGGGTGGGCCCCTGAGGCAACCAACCGCTGGTGGTGGTGGGCGTGGTGGTGGGCGCCCGCCACCATCGGGGAGGCTGCACGCACCGCCCCACCCTGTGCAAAGAAACAAGCAAAATCGAGGAACCGTCGGACCCCTTACAAGCAGTTTCGAGCGGGCTTCTCTCTTCTTGACGAAGGGTAAATGCAACAGAGAATTTGAGCCCAACGAGAAATGCCAAAGAATGGTAGGTGGGCAAAAAAAGAAATTCCTTAGGGAGTCAAATTGAGACGGAAGCAACAATAACAGATGAACCGAGGAGACTTGCTGCGGTCGTTGTTTCACTAAATTGAACCTCTAATTAGGGCAGTTTCCCGTGGAATACCTCCAGTGCCAGGCCTTTGATTTATGAACCAGCAGCAAAACACCCTGCACTCATTTTGGCACTGTGAATCATATAAATAACAAAAAATGCCAATGTGTAAAAAAAAAATTAATTCAAAAGAGGTTTACTATAATGCCCACGTCGACGTGAGCTAGTGAAAGCGGGAACGACACTGGCATGGCCCATTCATTTAGACACTTTGGTTAGCTGAACCAACACGAGAAAGCTTGTTCCTGGCCTGATTCAGTTCACCAAGCATCGGATAACCGAGGCATGCTTGCCCTACGTTTAAAACCCCTTTCAGCCGTAGAATAAACCCGTGGTTAGACTCGCGGCAAGAAATTCCGCCCGCAAGCGCTCTGCACGCCCCAGACTGAGAAAGAGGAGTCCTGACCTGGGCAGAGGAGGGAGCGGAGGTGCGTATGTGTAGCCGGATCTTGCCCGGGGGACAGCGTGGAGGCGGGGGAGGGTGGCTCTCTATCGTCTCCACAAAGTGACACGACGTCTGGAACTTCTTGATGCGGTGCGCAGCAAACGCCGTCAGGCACAGCTCCACGTCAGCCAGGAGCAGGTTCAGAGCCGAGAAGCTCACATGCTGCGTCACACAACGGAGGACATGTTGGCTCAGAAAGTTCCACTTTGGCTAGCCGTGTGCACCGCACAGGCGTGATATCTTTTCAACACAAAACGACAGGGCCCAACTTTTGATATCTGGTTTTCTGAATATTTCCAAGAACTTCCATAAAACCTCACAAAGTTCATTTAACAATGACACCTACTGGTGCCAAGGTTACCACATAATCTAGTAATTTCTGAAACCCAGTTGTCTCGGGGCGCTGACAAACCCGAGCAATCACTTGCTGTTCCTGCTATTTAAAATTTTGAATATGAATAAATTACTTTTATTCAGCTGGAAGATTAATAAGCAAAAATGGCCTATTTGACAATGATTATGCAGCCCTGCCAAATAGTAGCGAAGGAAGGTAACTTCAAGTTTGCTCCAATCATTTGCGAATGCGCTAAAACCACCGTGGTATAGCGACTACAGTCTAAGCTCATTATAACAGACCTGGTTACAACAGACATTTGGATATAACATACCAATTTGTGAAGTTCGGTTGGTTTTCCTCTATGCGCCATTGACTTAACTTCACATCTGCATACAACATACTCTTCTTACAACAGACCGAAAACTTGGTAAAAATCAAGGTCTCTTATAACGAGCTTAGACTGTAGCTGGTAGTGTTCACTCAAAGGCTTACACTTGGAAAAGTTGCAAGAAAGCACTTGTGAGAGATTGCTGCCTGTCTGTCACCTATATGCCAATTCCAGAGAAAAACCTATAGAAAACTGCAAAGTAATTTTAATTTTTTTTAACGTGATAGCGTTTAAGGGCTTGTATTGCAAAAAATCCGGTGTCGGCACTGGTGGGACCAAAAAATTCCATAATGCAATGCACGTAGCCACGTGTGACGTCACACGTGGCTGTGACATCTTGACCCTATCGATCTGCTATATTTTCCAACTAAATTTAGTGGAAAATTTTGCGCTAAATTTAGCAGGTCAATAGGGTCATGACATCACAGCCACGTGTGACGTCACGCAACACGTGACATGACGTCACGTGATGTCACGTGATGCTACAAACCAGACCACACACACACTTGCATGGCTTGGGAACAAGCGCGGGTTTGTATGAGAAGGCTTTGCGAACGGGGCCCAATAACGCTATCACGTTCCACTCTGAAGGGCAAAGCGTAAGCATCCCCCCAGTTATTTTTTTCATAAAAATTAACAAACTATTTTTAAGCCCCCCCCCCCCCCCCCCCCCCCTTCCAAAAAAAAAGTACTGCTCCGGCATGCAGCTCACCTTGAATGGGTTGTATTTACAGATGTCGTATACACAAGATGCAGTATAGTACACAAGGCCCTCCATGCGGTAGGGCGACACGATGGGTCTCGGCTCGAACATGTTGGGATGATTGCACACTTTGCGCAGCTGCATCAGCACGTTGATCACACTCATGAAGTTCCCAGTGGCCAGCGTCTCCTTGGTCCTGGGACGAAACCGACAATCAGCTGTCAGGGCGGAGGAAAACTAAAACCTCCAGCTTCCTTCAACTAAACATGGCACATTCATTAGTGCTACCCGACAATTCCACAACAGGCAGGACAATTAAAAGACCTCCCTGCCACTCTCATCGTCTCCGTGACTACCGTAAAGCTCGGAAAAAACGCCCACCCAAAATGAAGGGCGAAATGGCGAAAAACGCGGTGTGGTCTATGCTTGGGGGATGCCAGAGCAAAACTTTATAAAAAAAAAGTAGTGATAAACACCGGGGCACCTACTACGAACCATGTGACGTGGGAACTGATATGATACTCCAGATCACTGACACCGGAAATTCACATTTCAAGATAAAATAAACACACGGGAATTTGCGACTCCAGCGACCATAGGGGACGCCACTATTGGGCAAATATGGCAGTCGAATCCAGGTCATGCTGTGCCATGTGCCAGTTCAACGCACAACGCTGGGGCACCGGCAAGTAAGCATTAAACTCAAAAATGGTTCCCCCGCGTTTTATCTGACACGTTTCGAACCTGCGGCGATGTGTTGGGTAAGCGAACTTCCAGAGGCTTCACTTTCTTCAAGGAAACGACTTCCCACTGTTTTTCCACAGTGCTGATGGACATTGATAAACGCAGAGTGTCTGGCTCACGCGGTTACATAAGTCGCGTGCAGAGCAAACTGGGACACAAGGCGATACTATGGTTACGACACAGTCACCGGTAGAACTGTTCTGTCGCGCAAACCACCGACATGTAAACGTGGAAGCCAGAAGAGACGAGCAGAAATCGCGAAGGGATCTGTTCCGGCCAATTCAGTGTTTTCCTGCTAGGTGCCGCTCGTTTTGCTGGAGTCACAAATTTGCTACGAACTCCTGTGTCACAAGAAAGGATACCGCAGGTTACAGACGCAGCAGATTTGCGTTTCGTCGTGCGAAGGATTGTTTGTTTGTTGTTTGCGGGTTTTATGGCGCAAGAGCAACGATGGCCATACTGCGCCAAACTAGGTAAATTAAATTCAACTAGAAACGATGTACCAAAAAAGGTATTTCCACTATAGTTTGTGTAAAATTGCTATATACAGTAAAACCTCGTTATAACAAAACGGGATATAACAAACTAATGGATATAACAAAGCAATCATAATTCCCCTTGCTTGCTAATAGTGGGAAGAAATGGACATTGGCTATAACAAACTAATGGTTATAACGAAATAATTACGACCGCTCCTTCAACTTTGTTATAACGAGGTTTTACTGTATTTCAGAAAAGCTAAGAGACGGTCAATTGATATTAGAGGTTGCTCCCCTAGGAAAAGGGTGGGATGGAAAGGGATACTGTACTTGAAAAGCTCAGGAAAGAAGAGCTTGTGTTGTTGTAGAAGACCAGGGCAAAGAAAAATATGTAGAACGGACAAAGTGTCTCCACAGTGGTCACACTCCGGTGGTTCCTCACCAACAAGTAGGTATCGATGGGTGAGGGAAGGTGTGCCCGATCCTCAACCGGCACAGAAGAACCTCACGGAAACGGCTCCGGTTATTAGCCCCGAGAAGTTCGCCTGGCGCCCCCTTACGGCGAACCGCGGTGACGTCACGGCGAGGAGAGAATTTTTCCCCGACTCGTCCCGCTCGCCCTGTGGACGCTGTGACGACGCTAGCTGTCGGCGCGGTCGTTTCTATTTAATTTTTTTTTTTGGCGTGCTTTTCGTAGGAAGTGTAAATTTTTATATACGCCTTTATTGAGGTATTGCCTGTAGCTACAGGCGAAACTTCAACGAGCATTTTAAGCATGGCTGACAGGCCAGGCAACGCATGAACCACAGCTGGTATGTGAAAATAAAGAAATATGGCCACAATTGCAGGGGCATCACTACAGATTTACATCTCGCACAATAAACGCTGCTGATGGTCCGAATGAATTGGCAGGATGTATACTATTTTTTTTTTTTTTTTATCTCTGTCTTTAAACAAGATCGCCGAAGCAGAAAAGCTGCATGCTGATCGAGCAACGTGCTAAATACAGTCTCGGCCATGGGGAGAGAATCACAAGTAAGACAGCCCAAGTGCAGGGGCAAAGTAAAAAAACACACAAGGAACATTTATTATATACATTGCTCGCACTTGACCTTTGCTGGATTCGGATAGTATTTCAATGAACTACACGGATGGTATCTGTGGACTTGTTTATATCAATTTTCAAGTAATATATAACAAACATAAGTTAGGGTGTCTAGCTCGTTATTAGTCCATTAAGCCCTAAAATTTAGATTTTACTTAAATCCAATTGTCCTGAAGCTAAAGTACCAGAAGCTTTTCTCACGAAGACTGTCGCCCTTCACAGGTTCCACATTTTCTGCTACTAGTGCTGCATCTACCACTGGACAGACGTTCGAATGCTTGCTTTTACTCCTGTTTTCCTCTGTTGTCAGAGAGTCCAGTTGCAGGGAGTTTGGAGGCTGAGGAAGCTTTTGGGGACCTGCGGCAGTGACTCTTAAATGGAAATGACAATTCAGACTAAACGGTGCATTTTCCGAATACCGAAGGCTGGAATAAAGAATGTCAGGAAAAAGTATAAACATCCCAAATTACGGCACTATTGCTGTGCATATTTTGGGCAGTTTACTGCATATCATAGAGCCAACTGGGGGAAATTCGGCCGTTTTTGCTGCTACCATACAAACTAATTTCCAGTAATTGTGAATCCTCTAAGAAATATGCCTGCATAAGCGTATAAACTATATAATTAATTCAGGAAGAAGCTACATTTATGTAAAACAACCCTGTTTCATGAGCACTTCAAAGATCATCAGACGCAGGGCCTTTAAAACATCTGCAAACCAGCGCATGCAGAGTGGAAGCGCAGAGTCGGGGTCGCGAGCTAATTTGCCGACCACCGAAAGGCTCATGATATAAAGGCCGCTTCAGATGCCTTGAAAGTGGGATGTAATATCGTCCTAAATCATGAACATGCAAGGAACAGAATTCCAGCGTCTGAAACACTTGCGTCACCGCTTCACCGACCCCTCTCAAGATTGCCTTGCGTCCTGTGGACGGACGGGGAGGTTCATCGGCGTAATTGCCTCCGCCGATAGTTTTCGGGATTTGTAACCCAATTTTAAAGGTAAAAAGGACAAGCAGGCTTATAAGATGTACGGAAGCACGTTAATATCGGCCTAACTCAACGTCTTGTACACCGGGTAAACGAAGTCCGGCTCCTCGAAGAGCTTGCGGCACACAACGCCAAACCAGGAAACCGGCGCTGGGAAGCGACCCGATGCGAGATCGCGGAGCGGGGTACTCGCCCTGACGTCACGGTATACCTCACCCAATCAGGGCGCGGCGACCGCAGCGACGCTTGTGTTCGCTCTCGGGGCTAATAGGAGCTTTCCCAGGTACCGATCCTTGGCTTGATGATATGAAGCTTGTTGTTATCAGCCAAATCCCACTCAGACTGCCACAGTTTTAGAAGTGCAAGCCGTATGGACCTTGTTAGGTCTTGGTATGGAATGCATGCGTGTGATAGTAAGAGGTTACGCGAGGAGGCGGCCAGTCTATCTGCAGCCTCGTTGCCTGCAATGCCCACATGGCTCGGGATCCAACAAAACCTAATATCCTTCCCATCTCCGAGGCCCAGTTGAATTTTAGCACGTACCAGTTGAGTTAGCTTGTTGTTGGTTGGATTGAGTGAACATGCTGCAGTAACAACGCTCCGGGAGTCTACAAAAAGAACTGCTTTCATCACTTTGCTCCGGATAATATAGTCAAGTGCTGAGAGCACGCCATATAGCTCGGCAGTAAAAATGCTAGCGATATTATTTAGCCGTGTGACATGTGTAAACGAATTTGGATGAACAGATGAGCCTACATACGTTGAGGACTTGGCTCCATCAGTGTAAAATTTGTGATAAGTCTTGTACTTTTCTTGAAGTGCAAGAAATTCTTGTTGAAAAGCAAGTGGCGAGACATTATGTTTATTAAATTTTGTGAAGTACCAATCACAAGCTATAGGCTTGATATCCCATGGGGCAGTGTGACTTGCACTTTCTATGAGGTAGACATTTTCACGAGGCAGGCCAAGGGATAGACGCAGGTTCTCAAAACGAAGACTCAAGGGTCGAACAACAGTTGGCTTATGGTCAAAGGTGCGACAAAATCTGGACTCTCGGATATAAGTGTGAGCTGGATGACTAGAATCCGACAAAATTTTGTAAACATAGACTAGACTAAGGAGCTGCCGCCTTTTCTCGAGTGACATTTCATTAGAGTCAACATACAAGCTTGGGATAGGGGATGTTCGAAAAGCACCACTTGCTAGACGCAACCCAAGATGGTGCACTGGATCAAGCATCTTCAATGCAGACGGTCGAGCAGATGTGTACACAACAGCACCATAATCAAGACGTGATCTTACGAGAGAGGAATAGAGACGAAGAAGACACCTTTTATCGGAGCCCCAAGACTTGTGAGAGAGAACTTTTAGGATATTCATAGCCTGCATACACTTTTGCTTCAGCCACTTGAGGTGAGATACAAAGCTAAGTTTACGGTCGAAAATCAGTCCCAGGAACTTATGCTCTGGTCTTACTGCAATGCTATTTCCATTTAAACTGAGAATCGGATCTAACCAAAGCTTACGCCGCAGAGAAAAGGGGACACAGATTGTTTTTTCTGAAGAGAACTTAAAACCATTTTCGTTTGCCCATTTAGTCATTTTATTTATGGTTAGCTGCAACTGTCTTTCGCAGCTAGACATATTACAAGATGCCACAGAAATTTGAATATCATCCACATATAGGGAGTACGACACGGAAGAAGGTATGACCTGACAGAGAGAATTAATTTTTACAGCAAAAAGAGTAACACTCAGGACTCCACCCTGAGGAACCCCGTTCTCCTGAACAAACAAGTCGGAAAGTGTTGTCCCTAGCCGTACACGAAAAGAGCGATCACATAAAAAGTTTTTAATGCAGTAAAGCAATCTGCCGCGTACTCCACACATAAAAAGGTCACGCAGGATGCCATGTCGCCAAGTGGTATCATAAGCTTTCTCCAAGTCGAAAAATACCGATACGCAATGCTGCCTGTTCACAAATGCCTCTCGTACAAAAGTCTCCAGCCGAACCAAGTGGTCGGTCGTGGAGCGTCCAGGTCGGCAGCCGCACTGATTTGCATCCAAAATATCATTTTGTTCAAGGAAGTAAACAAGATGCTTGTTGATTAACCTTTCATATGTTTTTCCCAGGCAGCTCGTCAATGCTATCGGCCTGTAACTTGACGGGAGGGAAGGGTCTTTTCCAGGCTTCAATAACGGGATCACTTCTGCCTGTTTCCATTCAGTAGGGAAGTATGAATCTTTCCATAAGCCATTAAAATAAATTAGGAGAGCTGAGAGTGATTGTCGTTGTCTTGGAACATTGTCTTTCCAGGCGTTGTCTTGGAACGTTACGGTATTATTATGGTCGGTGACAGTTTAAGAGTGAAGTGGAGGTTCGTCTCAACCATTCCACTTTAGCAGAACGAACACTGGAGAGGATCTCCTCTCCAGCATTTACTCTGCTGAAGAGGAAAGGGGTGGAAGGATTTCCACTTGACTCTTGACCAGTTACCGACTATAATTATGAGCCAGCAAAGACACCCAGGTTGACGAACGAACACTAATCATGTCCAAACTTACCATGCCCCGCCACAAAGCTACCGTATTTACACGATTGTAGGTCGACTCGATTGTAAAGGGCTGTTTATACTCCAACATAGACAAACGCAACGCACGCTGTCGCAGACCGACATTCGTCGGCCACTACGTTGAGCCGAGAAGCGCCCGAACAATGGTGTTTACAGTCCAGCGCAGACAAACGCTGGTCCAGCGCGCCCCGACGAACTGCCCCACTATACGCATGCGAGTCTCAGTGGCAACCGCATCGTCTCTACGCACACAATGGGCCTCCAACACGGGATCGACGCCTTCTGGCGTGCTTTGGCTGCGCATGCACGTGCAAGGTGCATGAGATGGCCAGGCGTTATCGGAACTAGTTCACGCTGGAGGCGGGACAACTGAAGCACTGTCGTTCTCACTCCGTCCGCGACTAGACTACGACTCGTCCACACTGGTGATGTCAGTCCCGTCGTCATCACTGCTATGTTCTTTAAGCACGTCGTCGGCATCGTCCAATGAAATCTCGCACTTCGCAAATGACAGCATCAACCGCATCTTCCGCGCTTGCTCGGTGATCGCGTTGGACGTCACGAGTAGAGACCGATTGCGCACGTTTGCGGCGTACGTTGCAAGCCTGACCTCACTCCGGAAGGTATCCCCACCTATCCAGACTTCGGCCTGCTTCGTTTGCCGTCACACTTTAAGATTCCACGCCAGCGCAGACTCCACTGGAGCATCACCCACTCCGGCGGGTCGAACTTACGTCCAACAGCGCAGTTGTTGGTTGCTTCTGAGTGAAGAATGGAACGAGCACCGAAAACCTAAAGTGTCCGGATCACGCGTTTCAATACGAATGAGCATACAGTAGTTAGCGTACCAGCAATATCTCGTACTCGATCAAACGATGTGCGACCGCGAGTCATGCGAAAAACTGCGAAGAGAGGCCGCGGCGCCGCGGGCTGAGCGAGCCAAGTAGAGGGGCTTTAGCCAGAGTGGCTCTTACGAGAAGTGTCGCCACCCCCCGGGAGTCGGGCGCTCCGTGCTCTGTTCACCGCCGTGCATTCGGGTTAATTTGCGAATCGCTACCAATAATACTCGTTCGCGCTAATAAAAAATAATTAATTTGTAAAAAGAGCGCACAAAACAGTGTAATGCTAGGGGTACAGCCGGCTGAACTCGTAACAAGCCGAGGTGTCCATGATATCACGATTGTTTCGTTTTTGCCGGCGGTGGAATGCTTCGGTTAGATTATCAGTCGACCCCCCCACTTCTAATTTTGAAAAATTGGAAAAAGGGTCGACCTACATTCGTGTAAATACGGTACGCAGATGCTTGCCCCTCCCAATCCGTTTTTGCGGAGAGGTCGCTGCGCACTGTCACGGAAACAACCACGGCCCCTCAGACCTACCGCCAACCCCAAACGTCCAAGCCACGTTCCTCGCGCTCGGCCATAAAGAGGCGAGCAATCTGAAATGGGAGACCCCACTCACTTTGTCTGGGCCATGAAGTCGTCGTAGAGGTACCTCTGCCTCTTGGTCAATTGGCAGAACACCACATGCTCATACTTTTTGGGCAGCTGCTTTTCCACCTCGCACTTTAACCTCCGCAGGAGGAAAGGACGAAGCACCTGGCGGGACAAGGAGAGGAACATTAACTCTCACTGACACTTTTCCTATTTTTTGTTTACATAAAAAAGAAGGTAAAAAGAGCCTAAGATATAAAGCACAGTTGAGATCTAATCTAAACCCTGTCAGGGTATACACAAGAGTGACATGTTTACACCCACAGTAAATCTCTCCTTGGAACGGCCTGCGCCCGTTGCCTTTAGCCGCGCACGCACGCTCGAGGCTCACTACGCACCCAACTGTTATCAAAAATGCAAAAACTCGCGCCGTAGGTGAGACAATGGAAACTCCTGCCTGTAGGCCTTATTCCGCCAGCGGCTAAAGTAGTCAAAAGGTACCAATTCATTGTAAAGAGCATACTGCTAGGAAGTTTGTGCATGCACCTAAAAGCAGAAAGAACAGAGGCAGCAGTAACCTTATGAAGCCGCCTGATGAGGCTCTCGTTGTAGTCGCTGTTGCCCTCAATCATGCCCGTCACGGGGTTGGCAAACCATTCGCGGAATTCCCGGTGGGACTGGAACACGTTGGGCATGAGGAAGTGCATCAGGGACCACAGCTCCATAAGGCTGTTCTGCAGAGGGGTCCCTGTGAGCAGCAGCCGCCGAGAGCTCTGGAAGTTGAGCAGCATCTGCCACCGCTGCGACTTGAAGTTCTTGATGTTCTGGGCCTGCACCGCAAAGGGAGGGACGGGGTCACCAAAGGCCACCCGCCAACGACAACAGGCCTCGAAATCGCACTGCCACACTCCATTTCCTGTAGCAAGCTCGCATCAATGCCGGATACTCCATGGGCGTCGGGTCCTTCTAGAATTTAGGAATGTCTACAAAAAGGTGGCATTGGTAAGAATGAAAAGCAATGCATTCGTTATTAATACTTTAACAATACGCTAGAATAACCGGGTACTTTTAATGTTTATCACCGGCCAGTCACAATAGACTCCTTTCATCGTGGTCTACTGCAGCCAAGTTATTTTAGCTCCACTAACCAACCGCCGGTTAAATTTTCAGTCCCTAGAAATGCCATAAACACACAACTCCGGGAACACTTGCTCTAGTCTGCAACAAACGAAAGAGAAACAATGGCTGTAGCCAATCCCCACCTCGTCTAGAATGAAGTATTTCCACTTCTTCCGACGAAAGGCCTGGTGGTCTTGTACCACCAACTTGTAGGATGTGATGCACACGTGGAACGCATTTGGCTTCGTCCACCCCTGAAACAGTCATCCAGATCGTCTACAATCCTCCGCACTCGCAACGCAGATTCATTAATGCCGTTTCGTGTTTGCATTCTCGTCTTATGCAACACTTGCAGGAAGATGCCACCGCGCTTCCATCGTCGCTTCCCCCACGTTGGCAAAATGCCTCGCTGCCGGCCATCCGCCTATACACCTTTCCAAAAAACGCTCCTAGGCCACTGCCAGGTCGCTGATGCTGATGAGGTTGGTGCGACTCTTGCGACCCTTTCAGCTAGAAATTTTCTGCCACTCTCTCGGATTGTGGAAACCTGCTCAGCGTGATTCTCTACCTTTGTTTTTCAGTTTTGCCTTCAACGTTTTCTGGCCCCTCTTGAAAGTTTCCACTTAATTTTTCTGATGCAGGCTGCATACCCTTTATGTGTTATCTTCCACTGTGAGAAACAGGGCTGGCAAGTGCCTGGCATTGAAGTGTTTCTGCATGACATTCACGGGAAACGAAGGAGAGGAAAAACGTTGAATGGCACTCGACGCAATTTTGCAAGCAATGACAACTATTCTTTACCCCTCTCAGAGATAATCTGCGTAGGGTCCTTCTCAGTCATAGCCAAAAATAGTTGTTCGGTTGGACTGGGCTCGAAAATGGTTTGTTGCCCCCCTGGGGTCAAGTGTTTCTTGAAAAGGTGTATTCAATAAGTTTATCTCCTTGTGAGAGGTCGAGATCCTTACAAAAGCATAGAAAACCAAAAATTTCAGTTTCAGTTTTTTTCCCAGGATATTTCTTACGTTCCACCGATGCCAACTTCATTTATTTAGAGATTTTGCAATATCTATGTGCCATCAACTCGACTCTCCGAAGTCTAAAGACAAATCCCGCCCCTAAGGATGCGCGTGTCGACGTGCCCCTCCTGCGCCGGCAGACCCCCTTCTTAGAAAGAGCAAACGAGGAGAGGACAACCCACCTGACGCTTCTGCTTGCGCTCCTTGGGGACCCCGTAGTACGTGAGGATCTTGAAGGCAGGGCACCACTTCTTGAACTCCATCTCCCAGTTGAGCATCACACTCGTGGGCACGACTATCAGGTGCGGGCCCCACACCCCTGGGAAGAGACCGCCACACCACGACGGTTCAGAGGCAAAAGAAGCAGACGCTCCGAGACGGTCGAAAACGAGGGAGGAACCGTGGTGCCTGCAACGAGTCTCCGACTGGTCTTTACTGCATTCTAGCATGTGGTACCTTGATCTCCACCCGGCGCCGTAGTAGAAATCTTGCGCCATTGCCTGCTACGATTTCGGCAATGACACAATGGTAAAGGCAATGTGGCGGGCGCCCGATCGACTGCAGGTCACCCTCCAGCTTGAGAGCCCACGAAAGGTTCGGCAGCCAGAAGCGAATGTGCTGCGTCGACAGCGACGCTCCCATTATCTCACACAGTAGACTCTCGTTACTTCAAACTCCAGGAAGCCACGAATTTTGTTTGAATTATTTGGAATTCGTTTAAGTATGATGCAAGTTAAAAAAATAATTTCTCGTATGGATGGCCACGCACTAAAAGCAGATGCTCAAAGATTTCCTCTACACGTGGCTACTAATCGTAAGCAGATGTGTGAAGCATTCAAGGAATGAGGCTCCCATAGGCTGGTGCGCATCATAGTTTCAAAGAACGCCACCCCATGGCGCTGCGGGCCCCGCGCCAGAAAAAGGGACACGGTGGCATGCGTTTGGCCGCTTCTGCCCCTTTTAACGCCAACGAACAAGGCGGTGCCTCAAGCACTTACATCATCAGCAGCCGCAACCTCAGCAGTAGCAAAACCTGCTTGTCCATGCAAGTACACCACAGACGAACTAAGGGAGCGGAATAACAGAGCACAACGAGCGAGGAGGCAGGCAGCGAATAGAAGTCTCAGAATATTCGGCGGGTGGAACGAGCAGTGGCATAACGTGCTTGGAGACAGAACAAAGCCTTTAGAAAGTGAGGCACAAGTGGATCAGAATTCAAAGCGTCTCAGGTGGCAAGAGGACAAGGCCCTTCGACAAGGCAAGGCGGAAGCAATACGTCACAGGCGGCACGCTTTCGCATTCAACACTCATAAGAAGTGCTTAGGTGTCCCCGGACTTTTTTTTTTTTGCCAGCAATCTGCAAGTCGTGACATGCAAGTTAGTAGCAGGTTCCCAGGGGTTTATTGCGTTGTCAAACGTAAATCTGCTGCGTCCGCGATATCGGTTCCCATGACATGCTAGTTTGCGACGGGTTCCCACATGTCCTTCCTACCCACGTGAAAAGTGAATCTTCCCGCGACACAGGACTTCGTAGTGAATCCCCGCGTATTTATCGCACGGTTAAACGCCAATTTGCCGTCTCTGAAATTTCAGTTCCCCATTTCACAAGGTTTGCAGCAAGTGCCTCAATGTTTTCTTACAATTTTTTTTTTTTTTTTTTTTTTATAGTTTCATTGTAGCATTTTTAAAGGTGGCCCACCCCATGTTTTTCACTATTGAACTTTTCATTTTGGATGGGTGTTCCAACGGGATTTTCAATACGCATTAAGGCCCATTGAGTGCGCTTCTTACCGAGCACCTGTGTACTGCGGAGAAGCATCACCCGCGAAAGCGAGCTCTTTTGGAGTTGCTTCTCCGCAGTGCATCGGTGCTCGGTAAGAAGCACTCCCAACAGGGGCACGAGAACGAAAAGTGTGAATTACACGAAAATGCCGTTAGAATTAGGCGGCTTATGAATACATTGAAAACGTAGCGGGACAACTAAAAATTTGAAGTTTGTTTGAATTAACCAGAAGTATGAAATATCAGAACTGGAATTATCACGAACCTGCTGTACTTATCTACGACCAACTGCCAGGATCACAACATCCGGCAGCGGGACATTCCGGCTCTAGTGACCACGTTGGTTGCAACTTTGGATCATTTTCATTGCACGGGTGGTGCAGTACACTAAACACACCCGTTGGAGACACGTTCGAGGCACCTTAGTTCGACACGGCAACACCGACCAACAAACTGGCCACCCACCCTTGTCGCAGGCCATGTGCGCCAGGAGGGAGATGGTCTGGATGGTCTTCCCCAGGCCCATCTCGTCAGCCAAGATCCCGTTGAGCTTCTTGTCGTGCATGGTCACCAGCCAGTCCAGGCCAATGTGCTGGTACTCCCGGAGTGTGTGCTTCAGGAGCCAGGGAACCTTGGTGGCCACCTGGAAGCGACAAAACACGCTCAGGTTCGTGCACGCCTGCATGTGGATGTATGTTGGTTTGTCATGGGACGCACCTGCGTTGTCGAAAGCGTGTTTCCCTTTGGCTGGAAGCTCTGTGCGGTGGCCGCAATGTCCGTGATCTCTTTGGTTGGACCCTTGCAAGAGTCGCCGCCTCCCTTTTCCACCTGTAACCAAACGAAAGAATGTCATCTTCACCATTAGCTCTGGTGCCAGCGAATGGGCCAGTTCACCAAGCATCTCGGCACTGAAATAATGCAATGTCAGCGCTGCATCGGCACTAGTGTCGGCGCCGCCTCTACACTGAATGAGCACTGCATTGTGTGTGTAGGCAAAAAAAGGGAGCGGAAGGCCGATAAATTGCGAGGTCGGCACTTCGTCTGTAGTGCCGACTGATCACTGCAGTGTATGTGTGGACAGATCTGAAATGTCGAGCCAGGTCACGACGGCGTAATTTGCGCATGGCACTTGCCTTGGCTTCGGCGTCCACCTCGTCCGACATGGGGTTGATGAGGTACTCCATGCCAATGTCCTGCACCTCTCCCTCGCTGGACGTGTCCATGTCTTCCTCCTCCTCCTCTTCCTCGTCCTCATCTTCCTCTTCCTCCTCGGAGCTGTCCTCAGAGTCTGCGGCAAGATGGCCAGTCAGTCGGCTCGTCCAATCAGACAAGTTACGGGCACGCCGCAACTCGTGTGCGGTGTGTCCTACGGGCACACCGCTCGGTCCAAGCACGGTACTGACATTTCCTTCCGTTCCGCTCGTCGAGCCTCGAACATTGTTCAAATCTAGTTACGACCGTAGCCTGCCTTCTAGCCATGTAGAAAAAAATCGATTGAGAATTTTCGTAAATGATTCATGACTAGGCCACCTCATTTTCTCATACTGTATAGTCACCGTAAACTGAGAAAAAAACACCACTTACATGTAAGTAGGGAAACACTACTATAATACTCAGAGTCATTGCCTACCCCACCTTTTTGGGCAAAATATCTACTTCCAAAGAAACACAGAGTGATTGCAACACTATTTCAAGTTTTGAGTTCACAGTATATCTCGCATGCAGCTGAGCACGAGATATGCACGAGGATGTCGGAAAAACTTGCCATGAGACCTCCAGCAAATCGAGGACCCCCAAACTTACAACCAACTTCATGGCACATTCTGAATTTTGTGCTGCAGCAGTACTCCTGCAGGCAAGAAACCAGCTTGCCTTGTTCGTTGTCGGCCACCTCCACATCTTCGTCCTCGTCGGAACCCGCGATAGAATTCGGAACCTCGAAGTCGCTGGAATAGGCGGCCCTATATTTTTCATACAGGGCCTCCAATGACATCTCCCCTGGAAAGACAGAAGCAACACCATGTGAAATGCAACTATCAGAATTCGTTGCAAAGCAGAGCAATACAACAGATCCGCAAATGAAGGGAGTTTGGCCTGGTTTTTATCACACCACCTTGTGCCCCCTTAAAAAAAGCATGCTACTGGCCCCCTTGGTGCCATTAACAGATGCTGCAATGTTCAATCCAAAACCATGTGAAATGGATATCCTCAGCAAACCTCAGACATCAGATGCACCTGCATCTTCAACTTTTGACTACAAAGCTGCCGCTACTCTTTGTTTCATTTTTTGATGAACACGCCATCGAAGCCACTCCAATGCATGCTAGTGTCATGTGACCTTCGAGAGGGGCACAGCAGCGCATGGCAATATACGTTAGCAGCGCTGGATAGGCTGGGACGGCTTGTGGCATTCACTCCGGTCCCTCATAAGATTGAACGAAGTATAGCGCCCATGGGACCTTCCCCACAGCCCTTCAACCAGATGCCACAGGACCCCACCCACCTTCCTCAGCCAGCTCCTTGAGCTCTGCCGTGTGGTCCACGCTCTGCTCCTGCTCCTCCTGCTCCTCCATGGTTGCTTCGTCGTCCCCGCCCTCCTCTTCTCCTACCAGGAACTCTTCGTCCTCCTCTCCCCTGCTGTCGTCCACCTGGGAACAGAGGGCAAACGTCAGAGCCAGACCTCGTCCAGTAAGTTAGTTCCCCTCTCTCCCAACACTTGAGCTTACAGCACTTCTTCAGGTACCCACCAAGCTCGCCATAAATGGCCTGCCAGTCTACTTCAATGAGGAGGGTGCAGAGAGACTAAGTCTACAGAAAGACTCATGCCAGAAACTAAACTTAGGATTACTGCACACACATACTCATGTAAACTTGCCCATAGTCTGGTGAAGTGTAAAGAACATGGTGGACGCACTGAGAAATTACCGTATTTATACGAATGTAGGTGGACCCATTTTTCAACTTTTGAAAATTTGAAGTGGGGGGGTCGACTTATATTCGAACCAAAGCATTCCCCCGCCGACAAAAACAAAATAATCATGATATCAAGAACACCTCGGCTTGTTACGAGTTCAGCCGGCTGTACCTGTAGCATTGTGCTATTCTGTGCGCTCATTTTACAATTTTTTTTTTTTTTTGTGTGTGTGTGTGAGAACAAGTATTCTTGTTAGCGATTTGCAAATTAACTCGAATATATGGCAGTGAACAGCGCATGGCATGCCCAAATCCTGTGGGTGGCAACACTTCTTGTAAAAGCCACTCCGGAGGCCGGTGGAACAGCCTTACGGCTCACTGGTTCACTCCCCAGGGCTTCTTTCCGCAGATTTTCGCACGATTCACGGTTGCACGTCGTTTGATCGAGTGTCAAGATCATGCTGGAGCGCTAACTATGTTTTTACAGCGGAGCTGTTAAGGGCTAGTTTCCCCAGGATCATGTCCCCCGCAAAGAAATGTCGACACAAAACTCTGGTTGCCGCCGTCGCTCATAGATGAGGTAGCTGTCCAGAGCGTTGTGTTTGCTGGTTGTCCGCTTGCCGCCGTCGCTCATAGATGGCGCAACCTTTCGAGCCTTTCCACTCTGGCTTGCCGACTTGCGGCCGGCCATTACTTCATTCCCATCATAGTACAGCTTCGCTGGTCTTCCTTCTATACCAAATTGAAAAAGCTAAAAGATTTTTTGTATTGACATGCGTGATCCGGGCAGTTTAAGTTTTCAATGCTCGTTTATGGCCATTCTTTACCCAGAAGCAACCATCAACTGCGCTGCTGGATGCAAGTTCGACCACGAAAGTCAGATTTTGAGGTTTTACGTGTTAAACCAACGAAGGGCATCTGGCACGCCCCAGCGGAGTACTGAAAATTAATTTCGACCACCTGGGGATCTTTTGACGTGCAACCAAAAGCTCGGTTACACGGCGCCTTCTCTGCAATATGCCTCCGTCACATTGCGGGCACCTCGGCCGGTATTCGAACCCGCCACTTGGCGCAAGTTCGGCAAGTCGGAGCAGGTGATGTTTTAGTGGAGTCTGCAATGGCGTGGGATCTTAAACTGTGACGGCAAACAAAGAGGCTTCCGAAGGCCAAAGTCTGGATAGGTGGGAATGCCTTCCGGAGTTGGAGGTCAAGCTTATCATCATTCTTGTCCAGCTCGCTTGCGCCTTTGCATTAATTGCATTACAGTAAACTTTTGTAAATTCGACATCGACGGGACCTTGATATTTGGTCAAATTATCCGAATGATTGAATTACAAAAAGGACAGGAAAACTGTTAAAATTAAACTTCCTTTTATCCTCCAAAGTACTCACAGATGGTCTGATGCCGTCTGCGCTTAAAACGCATGTCCAAAAGCATGCTTAGGGGAGCACCTTAACTAAACGTCACGTCCCCGGAAAATCGCGCACTACAAAAAAAAAAAAAAATACATAAATAAAACGAAAAGAGTAAGTTTTACGAGCCGACTTTGGCTCCGAGCCAAAGTCTGCTCAGCGACAAAAGAAAAAAAAAAAAAGGAAAAGAGAATTTGCGGTTTTTGACGTGCAAGATGGACCGCACACGATGCTACAGAGAAGCGCTTTGAGAGCGCGCGCTGAGAATGCTTCGAGCCGACTTCGGCGCCGAGCGGCTAGACCGTCGGCGACAAAAAAAAAATCACACAAAAAAGAGGAAAAGAGAACTTACGCGTTCCTGTGCGTAAAATGGAGCGCACACGATGCTACAGAAAAACGCTTTGAGAGCGCGCGCTGGCACGTGCGCGCCGCGTCAGACTACGTGCTATGTTCTCTGTGCTACTCCACGCCAGAGTGGTTGCGCTGGTGCCATTCGCTACGGTCCATCTCAACGGGGTAGCAGAGCAGGCGAATATTTCCACACGTTCGGCTTTTCTGCCTTGGTGCTGTGCAATGTGAGCCCGCGCGCATTCGCTCGGGACGAATCATCCGATAGGGAGTCCTCCCGAGTTCGAACTATCGAACTTTTCCTCCCATAGAAATGCTCCCTAGAAACGCTCGCCGGGACTTTTGAACATGATCGAATTAAACGAAAGGTCGATTTAACCGAGGTCGAACTAACGAAAGTTTACTGTATAATAATTGCAACGTATGCCGCAAAAGTGCGCAATCGGTCCCTACCCGTGATGTGCAACGCTATCGCCGAGCAAGCGCAGGAGGTGCGGTTGATGCTGTCATTTGCTAAGTGCAAGATTTGGTTGGACGCCGCCAACGACGTGCTCTGAGAAAGTAGCAGTGATGACGACGGGATTGACACCACCAGTGTGGATGAGTCGTAGTCTAGTCGCGGACAGTGAAAACGACAAGGAGCAGCTTCAGTTGTCCCGCCTCCAGCGTAACTTCCTAGCACGCCAGAAGGCAACTATTGCGCGTTAGAGGTTAAGCTTTCAAAACAGATACCTTGCTGTTCTCAAGTGTTCGCAGTGAAATGCGCATCTAAACATCTTTAATTTATTTTTTGCTGATGCGCAATGTTGTGCACATCAGCTGCATGACATTGCTGACATGCAACTTAGAATTCAGACTACTTACAATCGTGCAAATACGGTAGATTCTTCCGTCAATTAGGGTAGCCTTGACTTTACTCTTATTTTTGTCTACAAAGGACAGTAAATCAAACTAAAGATGTCACAGTGAATGTTTGGCCAATTGTGGAAGGCTAACCAGGTCAAAGGTTTTTGATCAATGCATTGCTTACATAAGACGTCATCGCACCAAGCTAGCAGTCATTCCTACTTGTTCTTGATGAGAAAAAGAAACCTGATGGTGTGAAATGTGCACTACAAAAGGTAAGCACTCGCAGCAAGGTCACCACAATGACTGCTAAAGTGATGTCAATGCAAGCCATGTACAGAGCTGCTTCAGCATGTCTAGAACACATCTGCAACTCGACCAATCCGAGCCCACCCGGCTGAGCTTTATTTCTGCAGAGGGCGGGGGGGGGGGGGGGGGGGGAGGGCTGCCAGACCATGAATGTCCAACAAGGGGTGTTATAGCGAATGTTTGCCTAGTTGCAGGAGGCCGAACACAACTAAGTTTTCAGTCCTGCCAGGAGCACGTCTGTCTCCGCAATCGGAAAGCCTCCCTTTTGAGGAGAGCCAGACTCACGTCGATGGGGCTTCCCGACCGGTCCGAGCTGACCTCCCCGTCGTCCTGGGAGCTGTGGGAGGGCCTCCGGCGAGGGGCCGGCCCCTCCAGGATCTCGGGAGGCAGCGAGTCCAGCAGCTGGTCCAGGGGCAGCTCCCCCTCCCTCTGCAGCAGCTCCAGCTCCCTGCTCTGCTCCTCCGGCTGCAGGCGGGACGCACTCTCCTCCCGGTCTATCGTCTCCTCGTCGTCAGAGTCGCTCAGGTCCGGCTCAAAGTCCTCGTCTGCACAGGGAGCAGAAAGAGGGGTGCCGTGAGTGGACACACAAGCCGAGGTAGCAGGCAGGCTGGCGTTCAAAACAAGGGCGGGAAACCTAAAACAGCGTGCTCTTGAATTGTCCACCATTCTTTTCTTCTGGAGCAGAAATAATTAAAAAAAAATTTAAATATGGTCTTTTTTTTTTTATTTAAAAGGTGCTCCTGTTGATAGCAATTTATGAAGGTTTGCAACACCTTTGCCACACTTTCCCCGGGAAAGTTTGGAATATGACAAATGTTGAATGTTATATCAAACTCAAATTTTGCCAGATTCATTTCACTATCAGATACTCACCGCTGACGTTTACAAAGCAAGGTCTTCTAGATTACTATACTTGGCAATAGGTTAAGAACCCAGTAGATAACCTGCCTCCAGTGCGCACTTGTTGCCTTCAACCGGGTTCTGGCTGCACGTGCACCGGTGAAGTGATGTGATTGGTGCAGATTCATTTTGGAGCACCTTTTGGAGCAACCAAAAGTCCGTTTTGAGGCAGAAAAAAGCACTCTTGGAGCGTAAGCACACACTTCTACTGATATTACTGCAAATACTGCACGGCAGGTTTGATTCTCTCGAACACAGAATGAGCTGTTTAATTGCACGCAGAAGCAATAGGCATGGCAACAAGATGCTGAATGATGAAGGACACTATAGAATGCTGTGAATGGTTCTTTTAGGCACAATGTAAAATCTAAACCAAATACTCCATTCCACTGGAATAATATTAGAATTGAGTAGTCTTGAGCACACAAACTGATGCCTCATTCAAATTCTTAATGTTGCAATAAAAAACAAATTCTTACCTCAGGTATAAAGAAAACTTTTGTCACTGGATCATGAACATCCAAGCATGTTTTAAGTAGAACTTCTTGATAACAAGAGTCGGAATGTGAACAATAATTAGGCATTTTTAAAACAATCTAGCCATAATCATTAAGGGTATTACCAAGCTTCTTTTTACTGCTTTATCTAATTTCATTTTAAGGGAAGACATAGGCCTAAATTTCACTTTTTAAAAAAAAATTCATTTTTCAGTTTTAGGTTTTTGGTTATACACCCTTACCCTAAATTTCATAACCATACACCAAATAGTTACTTTGATGTAAAATATTTTCGACAGATTGTGAGGGAGTAACAAAGTAAAGAGGTTCACAATACTCGAAGCCTCTGTCACCTGGTTTTTCACTTCGATTTTATTTAGTTTTGATCGTTGATCTCTAGTTTTTGTTGTGAACTTTTCGGTGAAGGCTATGCCTGTGGTGAAGCCGCTGACGCGACAAAGCTTTGGCTGGCACTTGTGATTCACGAAGACGCAAGGACAGAGCGGTGGAAACCACGTGGCTGCCACCGATGAAAACAACCCAGCGCCCCAGATACCTTCACGCGCTGGACTGGCTGAACCGGAGCCTGCAGCAGCGGTGTTGACAACGGAAAGTGCTACCGCTGCTGCCATGCAATGTGCCACGGACATGCTCCCAGCGTTTGAGCGAAAGCTGAGCTTTTTGGAGACTGGCGGAGGCAGTGCGAGCGTGGAAAACGATGAAGACGCCAAAAAGTCTTCCGGCGACAATGCGGCCGGCTACCGTTTAGTGAGCATGTAGTCTTTACGAAGCTTGATAGAAGTGCTTTTATCCTACGTGTCGTGCTTGCTATTTGGAATTACAGGAAAGTGGTGTCAATGCGCATCCGACGTTCTTTGTTGTGTGCCAGGGGGGCACTCAGTTCGTCAAACAACATTTTAGCGAAAGCAGACTTTTCATCGACACTTCAGTGAATGGTCATCCTCCACGAAGCTACATTCACGGGTGGGCTAGGTGGATAAACATTTTTGTAATGAGCCGCCACAAACTCTTGACTCGAAGCGGTGTGAACGGAGGCGGGGGTTCGGTTAACACGCGTCCCAGTTATTCGCTAAAACGTTGATTCGCTCAAATGACCGCTGTTCGCTGAAACATCATTCACTCATGCGATATATCAGAAGATTGCGACAAATGTGCATGACGCGGCTGCACGAGCGTCGGCTGACGCGATGGCAGAGGCTGCGCGGACTGTTCAGAAGACTTGGGGGGCAGCTGCGAGATGCGTGCGTCAGCCACGACAGAACGTGGCATAAGCAAGGCCACACATCGCATTTCAGAGTTTGCGCCACCGTCGAACTTGACAAAGGCCTCATTCTTGATTATGCGAATGTAAGCAACTACTGCCATGGCTGCAGCCTTGGGCCAAAGAGACCTAAGAAGGGCACAAAGAGTGGCTCGAAGGGCACCAGTCAAAATGCCAGAAGAATTTTGCTGGGTCATCCAACGCAATGGGAGCTGAAGCAGCTGTAGTGATCTTCAGCCAATTAGTTGACCTCTACAAGCTGCAGAATGTGACTGTTCTCTGATGGGGACTCAAAAGCATTCAACCATGTACAGTAGAATCTCGATGATACAATCACGGTTCATCCCAATTTCAGGATGATACAAATTTTTCAAAATTCCCGGCCAAAGCCCCTTAAGACTAATGTATCACATTTCGGGATAGTCCGAATGCCTCATTGGGCTGCGGTGGAACATACAAACAATGATCGACAACGTTTACACATCTTTTAGGGCGGCATCACTCGACTCCGACAACCGTAGCCGCCATTTTTGCGTTATTTTTCTTGCCATTCTTTTTACATACGCACCGCAATCACAATACCCACGGCCATGTTCCAAAGCTCGAAAACACACCCCCGTCCACTGCTGCACTATCTGTCTTGTCACGTGATTCGAATTCGGATTGCTAGAGTAACTCGCATTCACCTAATCCAGGGTTGCTGCTTTATTTTTATTGTCATGTGATAAACGGGTTTTAGCAACTCTCAGTCACTCGAGTGAACACGGTAAACGACATTCAGAATCGGCGTTGATGACGTGAACGTCAAAGATCAAGCATCCTTTGTTTGTATGCGCATGTGCACGTTTGTAGAACTTTGTGCGATTTTCATCAACAAACTTTCGGGAGGATATCCCTCATCCTGCCTCGTCTGTCCAGCGCGAGTTGCAACTTGATTTAACATGTCTCGCAGGAGAAAATTTCTCTTTCAAAGAGAAGCTGGAGGTTCTGAGGAAAGTAGACGAGGACCCTAAAGGAAAACGCAAGGATTTGGAGGAGTTTTGGAACGTTTTTACATGTTCCAAAACGGTCTCCTGGGTGATATTGAAAAAAAGAAGACTCAGAAGAACATTACTAGCTTCTTTGGCCGGGAGTGTGAGCAATAAACGGCAAGTAGCCCCCACTTTGCTTTCATGTACTTATGTGACTTGTTTTTCGTTCATACGAATTTCGGATTATACGAGTATTTTCCGCTATCTTGCGAGATTCGTATCATTGAGATTCTACTGTAGCTGCACTGGAGCTGTCTGACAAGGAGGTCACCAAGGAAGATTGCGTGAACCACGTTGCCAAGAATGTCCCGCTGGAATGGAGCAGTTGAACAGGGCGAAAAGAGGACTAGGAGGACGGGGCAAGCTGACGAACGTGCTGATGAAAGTGACTATTATGCCAGTGCCCTGACACAAAACGCCCCAGACGTGACTGCGATGCAGCAAGGATTCTTCTCAACCCTGCTGCATATGTATTCCACGGACGAGGAGCCTCGACATATGGCATGTTTGAAGGGTGAAGGATCCTAATGCAGCTTGGAGTGCACCTGGCACTCCAAGCTGCCGGAAAGGCATCGGTTGCAAAGCCCCACTGACCAGCCTTCTCAAGAGGTGGCCAAGGAACTTGTTCCAATGTACAACTGTCTGACCCAGAGGAACCTATTGGCCAGGTGCTCTCGCATGAATATCCAAAGGCCAACGAGTCCTTCAACACTCATTTGAAAGAAATGTCCGAAAACGGAGTTTGCCTCCCTCTAGACTGTCAAAACAGCAGTGGCCCTAGCTGTTCTGGAAAACTATCTTGGACCTAGAGGCTTCGAAAGAGCACTTCTCAAAATGAAGATAGAATCTGGGAGCCGCCAGATGTCCCAGCAGAAAAAGGCGACCCAGCATTGACTCGCCAGCTCTCGAGCAAGTGCACTGCAGTCATCCAGTGTCGCCCACAAGCCATGCAAGATGGAACCTGTGACCTCCAAGCAGAAGTGCCTCCAAGAGGAGGGCCCCACCTACGCTGCTGGGCACTTTTAGTGTCCTTTTAGAGCAGGGTTCTGTTGGATATAGCATGTCGGAGCTCACGCGCGTAAGAAAAAGACGTCGAGGTTGTTCATGCGCGGTGAGACTCTCGCGGGCTTGTGCATGTCTTGACATGGCGGACTGTTTGGTATTCTTTTAGTACATACGTTGCTGACCTTAGTGTAAAATAAACCCTTTTGTCCTGCTAGTCCACAGCGACTATGTCTCTTTTATTCTGCACCCCGCAGAATAAAACAGGTTCGTACAGGATCTAAAGAAAGATATTCAAGGATAATCAAGGAATTTCCCAGACCTTGTGGGAGTATTTTCAAGGACCTAACGTGGGATGTGACGACCTTCAGAGACCATAACACTTCGGCGTTTGTCACCAACTCGTGTGCCTGGCAAGCAGAGTTTAGGTATGGCAACTTTGGTGGAGCCTAGTCAATGGTTTGTTCACTTGTCCCCAGAGCCAGGTAATTTTGTACCGAGCTCTTGCTGTGATCTTCATGATGCCGGCATGTTTTGCGCTCTTCCCATATGGCTCTTCAACACCAACTCGCCCATGGCGGCGACATCGAAAAATTTTCCGCATGGCTTGCATCTTGCACGATGCTTATTTGTCATATCTGGCACCACCCAGTCCTCATATTCACCACTGCAGAGCCACACACCATCCTGCCTTTGCTGGACATTTTCCCACGACCGACGTCAAGACACGAGAATAATGGCGGACAGTGGGCACAGCATTCCTGGATCAGATTGGATTCGGACTGCTCCAATGTGGCCAACCATCCAACAAACATCGGCTAAATCAAAATAAATTGAGAAAACCTAGACTGAAACAAAAAAATCGATAAGCATCACAAAAATGTACAATATATACCCGCATATGATATTATAAATAGCCATTCACGGATTTTAAAAGTCTAGCCAAAAAAATCCAGGGCTTTCAAGGGCCCTGCAAGCCAAATTTTAAATTCAAAGGTTTTCAAGGTCTAACAAAAAATCCGGGGTTTTCAAGGGCCTTGAAAATGCAATTTCTAAATTCAAGGGTTTTCAAGGGTTTCAAGAACCGGCACGCACCCTGTTAGAGGCCCTAAATTAAAGGCAGGGTTGTAGACACTTTGGATGCATTTTTCTTCATTTCACTTTTTGCTATAATTTCAGTTTAGTCAATCTATCGTTAGCTAACGTGACTGAGTGAAAGGCTCATGTTTAGTTTTTCTTTGACTGAATTTTAGTAAGCACTGTGACTATAGAACTGTTCGTTTACAAAGGTTTTCTAAACAATTTTTTAACATTCCTTCAAAGACACAGGAGGCCGAAAAGTAATTTTATATTGAAAACCAATTTTTTTGTAAAAGAAAACAACTTTTCAGAAAAATAATTTCACAGGCACTTTGCTTCACATCTAGCAAACGAAAAACTTTGGTACTGCATTAGTTTTCTAACGCTAGATTGACTAAGCAATGATGGTGTACAATCATATGAGTTGCTGTAATTTCCTTCACATTTACCGTATTATCCAGAGATGCCCCACCCCCGAAAGATTTGCTATTTCTCGGAAACACCGAAAGATAGCCCACTTCGAGCAATTGCGGGGCCTTGGCCAACGCTGGCCTTGGCAGGAATAGTGTTACTTTGCCAAGACGGGAGATAAGCAAACATTGTTGACTGGGAAGGACAGTCAATTTTGGTCCATCGCCCCTCCCTGCAATCGCAAGTTTCGCAGGTCACAGACTCTAGAACTATAATTTTTTTAACCTTCGATCGCACACCAAAAGTTAGCTCACTCCATATTTTCACCCGATTCGCTTTCACTGTTAGACGGCTTATCTCTCGGGATATTAGGGTAGTGTGCAGAGCTGGAACTCTTTCTGCACCCTTTATCATTACTAGAAGTCTACAAAGAAAATTTCCACCAATTTCAGACAGCGGTTCAAAAGTTGGCCTTCCTCAACAGTGTCCCGCTCTGGAGGAGTGCTTTCCTCTTAGCACATGGGTGCGATGCAGCAAAACAAGATGAGCAAAATCGTTATGCTTGCTTTGTGGCTGTTTCTTCGCTGCAGTGCACCAATTCCACCAATTTCAGACAGCGGTTCAAAAGTTGGCCGTCCTCGACAGTGTCCCGCTCTGGAGGAGTGCTTTCCTCTTAGCACATGGGTGCGATGCAGCAAAACAAGATGAGCAAAATCATTATGCTTGCTTTGTGGCTGTTTCTTCGCTGCAGTGCACAAGAGCACAATGAGAAGTGCTCAATGAAGCTGTTCCTTTTTTCTGTCGTTACTGCAATCTCGGGTAATTCTACAACGATGAATGACTAACTTACCTGCCGGAGCAGGCTACGAACATGAGAGAGATAGCGAAAATTCCGAGCGCTGCCAATGTTTGACAGAGATCAAACCGAATAGTATGTTATTTGCAGCAATAATCGAAAGTTTTGAAAATTCGCGCAAGCCTACTGCAACAATCCGGACATGCAGCGGAGCCTGAGCTATTAGTTTCAGTATCAATAAGGTGAAATAAAGTCTGGGAACATTGTTGGTCAAATCCTTCACATTTTGGCTAAATGTAGCAGGACGTAGCAGGGTAAGCCCCCTTAGTACAAATGGCACAGCAATCCCACCGCTGCCAGTGCTATCTAAGGCAGAGAGCTCGTTCCGGAGGCGGAAGATGTACTGTGGGCGGCACCAATTAAAGCTGCGCACCCACTCCTCTCTATGATATGCCAAAGAAAGTTGACACCATAGACTCCAGAAAATGAAGAGGCCGCGAGGGAAGCGATGGGCTCACTGGGTCAACCGATCTCACCGTTAGAGGAGCCGGACCTTGCAGGGCTCGAGGGGGCGGGAGGTGCATCGCTCTTGTCGGCGGCCGCTGCTGACGAGTTGTTGAGACGGTCGGCCATGCCCTCCCTGAGCCAGGACGAGTACTTCTCCGTCTGGTCCATGATGAAGTTGAGGTGCAGGTCGAGGGCCTTCTTGCGTTTCTCCTCCAGCCGTGTCTGCTGCTTGAACTCCACCAGCTTCTCGATATTGGCCCAGAACAGCTTGATCTCCTTGGCCACCTGGCCCGCTATCCGACGCAGCTTCTGCAGCTCCTCCTTCTCGGCACGCTCCGCCTTCAGGTCACGCTCCTGGTGGTACTTGAGCACCATGCGGGCGCACTGAAACACCGCCGCGGAAAAGGCTTATACCCCACCCAACCACGTCGTGCTGCCTTAATAATTTTGATGCCCCTCAACTGGACACATGCAAAGAAAACAATTTTTTTTAAACAACCTAGATGGAAAAAGGATGTCATAAAACGATTTTACAAGGAAGAAAAAAAATTTTTAGAGTTATATTTATGGCGCTATACAAAATTGTAGCTGGCGCCCACGGGCGCCGCGGAAAAGTGGACCTTATTTATCACGTGGTGCTTGCGCTCTTTCGGAAGCTTCCTTTGGCCTTTAAAAGTAACTTATTCATCTTTGTTTGAAGTATAACAAAAAGCTAAGATTAATAAGTAACTTTTAGAGCCCAAAGGAAACTCCTGAAAAAGCGAAAGCAGATGTGATAGACCTGTGCGCCGGTCAGATGACGGCGGCGGCGCCCTGAAGCAGGCGAACTTGAGCGGCGGCGGCGACAACGGCGTGGAGAACCGCGTTGAAGCGGCGTCGCACAATGCTTAGCGTGTGGCGGCGGCGCGACTTTGTGGCAGCGGCAGCAACGCAGCGCGGTGGCGCGTGCTCCTACCACGTGACCAGTGGCGGCTCCCGCGGGTGCTAACTACAAATTAGTTTTGCACCGTAAATATAGCTCTAAATTTTTTTTCTCTTCGTTGTAAATTCGTTTTATAGTATTCTTTTTCCATCTAGCCTGTTTTAAAAAAAAGTTTTTTCCCTTTGTATGTGTCCTTTAAGTTACAGGTATACCCCGGAATGAGTCTTCAACCGCTGTGTTTTGCGTCCCATCCCGCCTGTGCACGCTCCCGAAGCGGCGATAAATTGAGTCATGGGGGCCGGCGCGTCAAGCTTTTGGTCGCACAATCCTGGGAGGGGGAGGGGGAGGGGGAGGGGGGGGGGGGGGGGGGGGTTGGTCGTAGAAACAAATGCGAGTGGAGGCGTGGGCTGCCATCGTGGCGGCTTCCCGTCTCGCGTCTGCTGTTGTTTCTGTCGACCGTCTGGCTACAGAGTGGCCTGCGGTAAAACAGACGTCTGCCACATACACCTCCGCCGTCGCCAGGATCGTGGCAATCGACAATGCGACGCTTCTACGACGTCCTCAGGAGTAAATCGAGGGACCCCGTTCAGAGACACGGTAAACACACAGGTCGGAAATGTGTTCCGGGCAACACAGTGACGGAGACCAGCAGTCGAAAGTATGAACTGAACCTGTCGCGCATCCGCTTCTTCACCCGAAGCACCCGGGAAAGGAGGCGAGAGACGCCCACCCACCTTCTTGGCGGCGGCCTTCTTCCACTTGCGCTCCTGGGCAAAGTCCGTGGCCAGCCAGACCATCTCCTCAAGAAGGTAGTCCCAGTGGGCCTTGGCCCGAGGGGGCTCCTGCACTTTGGGCAGCCGCCGAGCCGACCACATTCCCTCCCTCCTCAGCTCGGCTATCCGCTGCATCACGTATGCCTCCTGCTTGGCCCGCTCCACAATCTCTTCCTGGGAGCCGATGGACGAGTCGTACACTGCGGAGATCGAGTGCTGCCGCGTCGCCAGGCGCCCCGCGGGCAGCACCAGTGCTGCCGGGGAGGAAGGAACGGCCGCCGCCAGGGCCTGCCGGGCCTTCGACGAGGGGGACCCCCCGGAGGCCGGTTGGTGGGGGGCAGGGGGATGCCGCAGGGGGGACCCGGGGGTTCGGGGGACCTGTGGCTGTGGGTGATGATGCTGCTGCTGTGGCTGCAGCTGCTGCTGCAGCTGCTGTGGCGTGGGGCCGGGGGATTGACTAGACGGAAGAGACGGTCCTCTGGAGCTGGGCGCCAGAGGGGAAGGGGATGGGAGCCCTGCAACGGGACAGAGCGGAAGTCAGTCGAAGGACACGAGATTGGAGAGCGATGTCCTTTCTCTGGCGGTCAGGGCCCCCAAACCCCACAAGCACTGCCTCGCGCATGGTTTACGAGCAGAAAGAGTAAACGACAGACGGTACACATGGTTTATGGTAGTTTCAGTTAACACTTGATTTGAAATATTTTTCACGAAATTACATGAAAATTACACAACATATAAAGCAAAACTCCATGACACGGGATGGAACCGACTTGCAAAGAGGTAAATATAAACACAGGTAGAAATAGCTTCTAGCATGTACCTTGCTCCGTCATATGCCTCACTGATTGCTCTCCTTTGTCATGTTCCCAAGTTTTCTTCGTGGGGTTTCAGGGCGTGCCAACGCGGGGCTTGCAGGCTTGCAGTACACTTTTACATAAAAGCTTATTAGGGCACGTTCATTGCAGTGTTTGTGTAATTATGCACACGCAGTTTCTGGCTGACTGCAATTGCAAGCGAGCACTGGCTATACTGTGAGTTTGCTCGTGTGGACTGTGATTTTTTTGTAGACAGTGGAAACGTCTCTAGTTATGCAAGTACAGCCAAGAGGGAGGTGTGCCAACTTTAATACATTTGAGTTTATCGCAATATGGTGGCACTGTTTGCTCCACTATGCAGATGAAGTTACTCCAGGACGCCAGTGAGCAGTAAAAAGTCCATTCAACGAAACTATCCTGCCAGAACAGACTACAAGTATGAGAAATACTGCAAAAATTTCGGGTACTGTCATTGTTTCATAGAGAGATCAAATCGAGTAGTACATTATTTGAGGCGGAAGTTTTGGAAACCTGCACAAGCCTATAGTAATGATACGGCCGGGTAACGAGGCCCAAGCCAATATATTTTCAGTATTATTAAAGGGAAATTAAGTTTTAGTGCAATGCTAGAGCAATCGGAAAAATGTAGCAGGATGTAGCAGTGTAAGCACTTTGGCGCAACATGGTACAAATGGTGCAGCAATTGCATCACTGAACGTCCCATGGAAATTCTGCTGTTGGGTCAGTGCTTTCGAGTGTTTTTCTCAATAATGTATGCCTTGGTAGTGAAAAGGCCGTATTAAAAGGTAGAAAATTGCTGTTCCTGCCGGTTTGTTTTTCTTTATCTGATGGTAGATCTATCATCATTTGCCTAAGTAGAAACAAATTGATCAAGGAATTTTGCATTTCTCTTTTTTACGCATTGTTAGCAGCATATAAAATCCTGTTGGACGTCTTATGACATGCACAATCGCATTAAAAATCCTCCAATAAAACTAAATGTAACTGCCGGAAGGGGGCAAAGGATATCGGAGTGGGGAGGCTTCCCTAGTCAGCCAGCTGTCCCAAAACATGAAGACAGTCTTGCACGGTGCAAACTCCTGTCCAAAACCAGAGTGACTCAAAGCAGCACCACTCACCGGGAGGTGTGGCGTGCTGGCCAGCCACTGAGGCCACAGGAGGTACGGCCGTGGTGTTTGTGGACGAAGAGGACGAGGTGGGAGCCGAGGAGGAGGATGGAGGCCGGGTGTCCAGCAGCTGCAGGGGGTCCTCCTCGTCCTCGCTGTCTAGTGCGTGTGCCCTCAGCATGGCCACTAGCTGGGGCGTGGGCCTGCGCTTCCACGCGTAGTAGTCCATCATGTTGCCCCCATTCTGGAGAAAGAACAGCTCCGTCAGGTGCTCCACGTAGCGCTCCTTGTTCCGCCGCAGCTCCCGCCAGCGGTACTCGTGGATGCGCTGCCGCAGCGCCGCCACTTCCTCGCTGGCCGCTGGCCGCTCCTCCAGCTTGGGGCGCTTCGAGGCCCGTGGGCACTCCACCCCCACAAGGCCCCCCACGCGTGCCGGCGACCCAACGCCGCTCGACGTCGTCGAAGACGGGGGCAGGGCAGTCCGTTTGGGCACCAGGAACTGGGCGGTGGGGGGTGGCGAGGGAGGGGGAGGCCGCGGCACCACCTGGGGTGGCGTGGCCGGTTGCACAACGTACTGGTGGTGGCCACCATCATCGTCGTGCATGGTGTCCATGACGATGGCCTGCTGCTGGGCCAGGGGCTGGGTGGTGGCCAGTAGGGCGGCGGGGCTGGTGGCTGCCAGCCGGGCCACCCTGGGCGGCGACAACAGCCCCTTGGTGCCGCCTGTCGACCCGTAGCCCTGCTGGTTGGCAACTGCCAGGATGCGAGCCAGGTTCTGCTGCGAGGGGGAGGCTGCTGCTACGGCCACGCCAGGGCTCGTTACTGCAGAGGGGGGAGCAACGCCGGCCGGTGAGCAAGTTCTTCATCCGAACATTAAAACAAACTCTGAATGCGAGAAGTAATGATGACCGGCACTGTGTGTCGCACCTTAACAACGGGTAGTGTTACTTAAAGCTGTACTGTCTAGAAGCAGGTTTACATTTGCTGCCAAGGAAGGAAGTAAGGGCTTCAGCCAATGCTGCCCCTCATACTTTGAAATTTTGCCGAGGTGAGAACAGGGGCGTCAACACCCACCGGAGACCTGGGCAGGAATGGTGATGTTCTGGATGTGGCCTCCCATCGACACGGCCGGTGCCAGGAAGTGCTGATAGGAGGCCGTCCCGGTGATGGGCACCCCAGAGCTCGTCACCACGCTCACCGTGGTGGCTGCCTGGTGGGCCGAGGTCTCCGCAGGTGGGGCCACGCTGCGCACCTACACCAACACCATATCCCAACAATGAGCCAAGGGTGACGTAGAGGCAAAATTTTACGTTTCCTTTGTGATTGGATATCTGTGCCAAGTTTGTTGTCCCTTAAAAATAAGATTTAGATTGTTTTCACGTCTAAAATACTCCATAACTTCTCAATGTATGAAGGCATTTTCTAACTTGCAGTGATGTGATTGGCCTAAGACATTTTGGAGCACCTTTTGGAGCAGCCAGAACAGTGTTTTGGAGCAGCAAATGTGGCCTCTGGAGCAACCAAAACAGTGTTTTGGAGCAGTCAAGACAGTGTTTTGGAGCAGCAAAATTGGCTTTTGGAGCAGATATTCTTAGAAAAATAAGAATATTTGTTTTAAGTGCTGTACAAACGAACGGCCCTTTGTGTTGTGTTATGTTCTGATGTGACGTGTTGTGACGGAACTCGCTGCTTGTGTTCTTACTGCTGAGAGATCCCACAAGCGTACAGTGCTGTAGGCATTGCCGAGCAATTCTAAAAAAACCGCTTGCCACTGTTTAACTGGTTCCCAACGTGCCAGATTTTCGTCATAAGTAAGCAAACGTAAAACGATGGATTACAAGCTTCCCGGCTGTGCCTCTGTCATGCAATCATGTTCGCATGCGCATGAGGGTAACTTCCACAGGTGTGCAGTTGCGCGTGCTTCGTCATGCGAGCGAAGACAACGGCTGCTTTATTGCACCCAAAACCATGCCACTCCGCTACGTTGTCAACTGATTCCCGAAATTGTATGCAAAATGTAACTATCGAACATACAACAAAAAACAGTCCAGCGGCATGTGCTTGCCAGGCTGGCAAACAAGGTAGAAGCTAAACATACACACACAAGAAAGAACCTGAATGCATCGATGCAAGACATTGCGAGCCAAAGTCAAAAGGTTCTTGGAGCGCTTTGTGCAACAACTGAACACGAGACAAACAAGCGCGCTGTGCAGGTTCAGCGTGCACACATTGTCTTCTTTGCTTGAGCTCACTTCTCTTCACCAACTTTCTTTTACGGCAGATTTTTCACGTACCGGGGTACCTCTCAAAAAAAAAGTCCACCAAGAGAAACCTAGGTGTAATCAATACTTTGACACTGCAGTCTTTGAGCTGGAGGGATATTTGTAGTAATGTATGATTTAAACAAGAACAGGAATGTTGATGAACATGAAGCAGTACTTTGTTTCATTTCAGAAAGCGTTATATCTGCAGCGACTTGGGGACGACAACATCCGATGTTGCGCGACCTCGGTGACTGGAAGGCAGGAACCGAATATAGTTTTTCCACAGCCGTTGCTTTCAGGAGCGAGTGCTTCAGCTCACAAAGTAACTCCCACCACGTAAAAACGTGCTTTCATTTCACAGCATGACGGCATGGCTGGTACCCGGCACGCTAGCGTCGGAGCGTCTGCACACACCCGCGTCTATCGTTGAAAATGTCTTAAAAAGACACGAGACGAGACCTACGAGACGAGGGCGCGTAACTTGAGATGGCGGGAAAACCATGCAAGACCGGATGGAATAGACTACTTCCATAAAGCCCTACATGCAACACGGCGCGCGTTGCACTCTGGGAACTAGTTGGCCAGCCAGGGAGGAGGGTGGCATGGTTTCGGTTTCGATTGACTCGTCGACAAAAGATTATACACAGAGCGTGGACTATTAACGGCCGTTATCTCATGTTTTCTGGTCCCGAGAGCGTCATTTGTGGTCTCTAAACTAACCTAAATGGCCAGACCTTGAAGCTTTAGACAAGCCCGCGACGTATAGTTTGTCTTAACTCATGCTTGTTGTATTTTTGTACTTTAGCCTTTCTGTTAGCGTTGTGGTATGTGGACGAGCCAGTGCTGGGAATCTCGACGCTGCGAAGCTCGGGGATTTTGCCTATGTAGCAAGATCCCCGAGCCTATGTATCTTGCCTATGTAACAAGCTGTAGCAACCAATAAGTATGCATACATCGAGCTCGCGCCTTTACATTAGTGTTGTTGATCAGGAAGTTTGTTTGTTTCGTGCGTCCATAGACGAAAAATCACTTTTTGCAATTACTGTTTTTCTTAATACGCCTGAGTACGCGAGGTAAAACTCGGAGGCGCCATTGAAAAGCTCAATTTTAACACACTTCTAATCCCTTATCTGTACTGACCCGCAGCACTGCACGAAGTGAGGTCCCCACCCGCTTGCATTCCACTAATGTTCAACATGGCGTATGCGCATAAAGTTATCCTGCAATCATATAGGCACATTCGCACATACATACCATTTTTAGTAAGCAAAGGTCGAGCACTTGTGTGAAGAATGTCGCACCGTTCGCCGGGAGTGCGCCGGACGGGCAAGAACCCCTATGTGGTGCGCCAAACGAACGAAATTATTCAAAGCGCGTTTGCCAGTTGTTAATGGCCATTATATTTGTTATGTATTTGCTTTCTTCCTGCCTGAGTATGTCGAGATAATTTCAGACACACCGTTCAGGCACAGATCTTGGGCGTCAGTAAAAGCTCGTCCAAAAAGGCTTAGCGAGGAGTAGGGGACGCTTGTTATAGGGCCTCCGTCGTAGCTAGCCGATCTCAGCGTCTGCAAAAACTGAATCTTCCATCAGCATAAAATTTGAGTGGGAGATATATGATGACACGAGGAAGACATCGTAGTAACTTTTGTGCAGTGGCGAGGTCGAATTTATTGCGTTTCCTTAAAAGTTCATGCGTCAACGCTGGGCTCAACTTTGATACTCCTGTGAGAATGCGGCTTGCTTTTTGCCCAATGAAGTAACAAGAAGCGGACGTTTGGCAAACAAAATAGGTGAAAGGCTCCAGGTGAACAAATTTCAGTTCTAGTTCACTGGTACTAGACGGGATTATTGAAATTGAACTCAAAGATGCACTCGTTGGGTGAGGTGACTAAGCCACGCCTTACTACGTTTGCATACGCACTCATAATATCCGGTGTTTCGGGAACCAAGAAAAGTGCCCCGGTCTTCGTTTTGTATCGCTCGAGAATGAGCGTATTGTACGTTCGTGAAAAGTAAGATAATCGAAAACGCAAGCAGCGCATTCGGTTGCGGCGTGATAGCATGAGATGAAGCTGCTCAATCGAAACCGAAACTGAGCGGCCAACTAGTTCCCAGAGTGCACTGCGTGGTATTTCGCCGCGATGGGGCGTGTCGGTTTTGGAAGAAGTCCATTGATGCAGGGCACTTTATGTCGTGCGGCCGCTAGCGTCACATAACTATACCTGCCAACCTAGCAACACGAAAATTCGGGAGACCGCCGCGCAAGGGGGGGAAGGGGTTGAAGCAATATTTTTTTTCTTTTTTTTTTAGTTTGACAAGAAACCTTGTGAAGAGGCACTCTGCGCGAATAGCACTGTCTTCGCAGTTGTTTTGGAGTAAACTGCCGGTGGTGCCCTGCCCTTCTACGGCACGAGCATGGTTCTGATGCTTTCGTGAAGTGATGTGTATCTTAATGACAAGCTTGCCGCCATGCGAAACGCTCACAGATCACAGGCGCACATGGTACAGAATTCATACTTGTCAGCTTTCCGCGAAGCGACAAAGCACGGAAACTCAGTCGCGTATGATCTTAGAAATACTTGCAAGTACTTCTTCGTGGCTTATGAAAGTGCCATCGATCGTCCCAACAGATCAGTAATTCCAACTAAACTCGGGGAAACACGAAGAGTAATTCGACGTTCCGCACCTCACTCAATGACCTGACAAAGCCAACTGAAGCCTAGCGCCGCACCCATGGTCATATAAGCTGTGTTCCAAAATGCGCTGTTTCAGGAGTAAAGGTTTCGTACCTTGGCGTTTGAAAATCCACCCTCGTTTTACACTACTGCTCCGAGTTGTTACGTGGTAACCCGCCGGAGTAACCTAAACCTACTCTAGAGTAACTCGCAATGACACACGCGTAATGACTATAGCAATAAAGCATCATTAAAAAAAAAAATTACGGCAGACATTGTTCGGGAGATCTGAGGTCGCGTCCGTACAATCGGGAGATGTGATCAAAATTCGGGAGGCTCCTGGAAAATTCGGGAGAAATGGCAGGTATGCATAACATAAACATGCTCAATTACTGTACTCAGTTTCGGCATTGAAAGGAGACCGAAATTGGTTTCTTGGTGCAGGCTTGGCACAAATCACCCATATCTTGGCAAAATGTAGCAGGAAGTAGCAGGGTTAGCCCCTTGGCACAGTCTGGCGCAACAATCACATTACTGAACTTGCTGTCAAAGTCAAAGACAAGATTCAACACTACGGCTAGTTTCTCAAAATGTAGTACCAACTTCCTCTGACATTCACATTTGGCAGACTGGCCAGATTCAGTAACTACTGCGCCTCACTTTGTCTGCTTAGCAGTTTTGAATGAAAATGTTCAAAGAGGGCATTTCTAAGTTGACAGTTGCCTGGGAATATATGTTATGTGTCAACACAATCATATAAAGCAATTCCTGCCTACATCTGTTCCATCAACCTGTGGAAGTTTCCCATTTCATCAAAGGGGATAGACTACTTTATTATAATTATAAATTCTATATATGGAGGTATTTTGACCAAGAATGGCAACAAGACTTGGAAGACAGTAAAAATAAAATAAAAAAATATTTCACAGCCACACTTTAGAAATTCTAGTCCCCTCTTTTTAATCCTTCATTCTACCGTGTTGCTTCCAGCATGCCATAAATACAGTTAAGCTTATGTTGTGCAAGAATAAAGATAGTTATGTTTGGTGGTAAATGTGTATTCATTAATTTCTAAGGGAGATGAGAAACATTATATTGGTGCATGCCATACTCCAATGTATGTTCGTACAGTTTCATTTTGCGAACAAGCGATGAAAAGGGGTGCCATGCGGCAGTATCCATAGCAACCAGTGCTAGCATCCCTACGTCGCTTCCTCGCGGCGTCACGGCGCTCGGATATGGTCAATGCAGGTAATACCGTGTGGTGCACCTGTGGTGAGCTTAGCAACGAGCAGCGAGTGTCGTGCGGCGCCCAGTTCCACCTATCATGTGTTTCATGCTTTACAGTATGGAAAGCTCCGCAACACAGGGAACTGAATCATTTGATCCCATGCCAGTTGTGCACTCGGCAAATTAACTTATGATCTCTCTTAGCACATTGCAAGATTTGACTTGCCAATTGCTTTTCTTTTTTACAGCGGAGCTGTTAAGGGCTAGGTTCCCCAGGATCGTGTCCGTGTATGCCGACACAAACCTACCTAGACAACTACCGCCATCTATAAGCGACGGCGGCAAGCAGACAACCAGTATGGTTTCCGTCGTCGCTCGTAGATGGCGGCAACCTTTGCAGCTATAATAGAAGAATGGATAGTTGGGCGCGTTGGTGGGAATTCATCGTAGGAAACAGCGCGAAAAACAGACGACGACGAAGAAGAAGCACACAGTGTATTGAGTACAGCTCCGCTGGTCTTCCTTCTTCACGAGAGTGGAAAGGCTGAACGATTTTAATTTGACGTTTGTGTTTACACAGCGCAAGGATAGTCTGCCTTTGAGGTGCGGCGCCACTTGTTTATGCCATAGATGAGAGGTTTAGCCAGTGCAGTGACACCCCTAGCCTTGTGTCTTTAACATGCATCACGCAGTAGTGACACACGACCGATGATACACGATGCTCGTCCATATTGAAACGGGCAGGGGTGGGGATTGAACCCAGGATCTCTGGGTTCTGCAGCACGAGCTTTCGCTCTACCAGCTCCGAGCTGCGGTGCGCCAAAACGCTTGGCCACCGATTCCACCACCCCGAAAATTAAATAAAGTTCCTACATGGCACAGATACGACACACCACCATCCCTGGAATCTACAGATGCTTATAGTCTGTTGTAGGTTAGAAAGAGCAGGTCAAGCTCCATCCACAAAGCCCTCCCCTCTCTCTTCTCGTTGCCAGAGCAAACATCAGCAGGGTGTCTACCAAATTTTTCTTTTTCAAATTGTTCGAACCAAGTGAATCAGGCAAAATAAGCCCGTGATGGCCACTGGTAACAATGATCAACATCTTGTATCTGCTGTTTACACCGAGCCTACTTACCTCAAAATGCTTCAAACTTAAAAGTCTTCTGAGGCCTGCACTTACTTCTTATTGCCAAGTTTGGTCTACTGGCCACTGTCGTCTGAACGAGCAGACAACAGTTTGAACGAGCTTGAAAGGGCCGACGACAGTCCGAACGAGCAGATGACAGTTTCAACAATCAGACAGCTGTTCGAATGTGAAAATGCATTGAACAGGGTCCGTGGGTGGTCCAGACAACGCTGGCCACCATAATCCAACAATGTCCGATTTTTTTTTTTTTTCATGGCACTTATTTACGTTCTCAAATGAACCGAGTAGGCAGAAAACACATGAAAACTGATCCTCACACCCTTCCCAGATTTTTTAGTACACCCCCAGTCACAGCGTTTTGACAAGAAGGCATGTTTTAGTCTGGTTTCTTCCAAAAAACAACACAGGAATGCCTATCCCGCACAATGACTTCCACCCACAACCCCAGAGCATCAAATATTGAAGGAGGAGGCATGTTTAAAGGTTAGAGCTTTAAATGATTGCGGCCTCTGTTCCAGCACGTCGTAAAAGCCAGAGACAAGCGCAGTCATCATTGACGTGACGGTAACGTGGCTTCTGGTGCATTCTGACAAGCGCCTTAAAACTTCAGTTTTTTTTTTTTTTTGTTTGTTACTGATTTAGTTTTTTCATTTCATTGTTTGTGCTTTTCTGCAGCCGAAAACAACACCTGCATTTTTTAAACATCATTTTTAGTATCTTTGAGTGCTCAGTGCTGTCTGCTTCAGCAAGAGACACTTAGCAACATTGTATTATGACAAGCAGCAAACGTCCTGGCTGGAGTGGAGGTCGGCACACGGTTCAAGTTCAAGCTGGGATCCCACTTGCAAAGGTCTATAGAGAATCTTTGTGCCAGCAAAACAGAGATCTTCAAGGGCAAGGAAACGACGGGGCCTTGCCCACCTGTGGGATCCTGGGTTGAGAGAGGAGGTCCCCTGAAGCCTGGGTGGCCTGGAGGAGGCTGGCGACGGCGGGAGTGGTCGACTGCAAGCACTCATGGTCGTTTCCCTCTCCATTGGACTCCCCACCAACCTGGATCATGGCCCTGACCCCCGGGGCAGAGATCTGCACAGCGGGAGAGGCAAGGCACAAGCTCAGCGTCCCGTGGGCCGTTCCGAGACTCGCAGGAGGTTTCATTTTAAGTGTGAGCATAGTAGAAGAGTGAGCTCTGGACTTTCAGCGTTCCTGCCAAGCATGTGCACTTGCCTAGTGCAAGCAATGTTCAGAGCAACATGCTCCTGCTTGTTGCTTTGGCTTCACTTTCAAATAAATGAAAACTATAGTACATACGGACCCTACAAGTCATTTCTGGCCATGTTTGTGTGAGACTCGAGCACGCTGACACTTTCCTGAAAACAGACTGTGAGGCCATTTGTCAGATCACACGTGACAAATGACCTCACAGTGGGTTTGCAGGGCAGTGATCGGAAGCTGTGCAATGCGCTGACCAGAACAGGCGTAGGCCTAGTGGCCTTGTGAGCCCAGAACCCAGAGTGTGTCAGCTTCCCGCTATGTTGCGCACAGGGGACATGGGAGTGTGCGCACCCAAGGCACCCTGAGAATGGTGCTGAAACATACCGCAATGCTGCACAGAACTCTGCAGTTTGATGAGCACAATGACTGCAAAGGGCTAAAAGTAGGATGCACTCTCACGCTGTACTTTCCATATTCTGTGTAGAATATAGGAAGCATGAAATGAACCAAACACTAGAAGAGGTTTCTTTCAGTTAAAAGGGGTCACACAAAATAATATTTTGCCTGGCTAAGATTTTCTCTCTTTTTCCCTTGCCTTTTCTTTTCCTCAGAAAAGTGATGGGGCCTCAGGACTAATTATTTTCAATGCTTTGAACAATGATAGTCAGGCAGGCAGGCACAGAATGTCGTTGAAAATGGGTGTATTTTGCCTCGACTGAAAGAACTTGATGAGCAAGGACAGAAACTAAAAGAAGGCATTTCGCCACTTTCCCGCAACTGCATGGTTCATCTAAACTAGGGGTAGCCAGCCAAATTGAGACTCTCTTGTTGGAAGCAGCTGTGTGTTTACTTAATTTAGGTAATAAAGCTAACAAAGGGATAGGTCAAAGGGGGCAAAGAGAAATGGTGGAAGAATAAAGGAAGAATGAGTTGCGTATTGCTTATGAGCTCAAATGTTCAAGGTAATAGATATAATATAATACCTTCACTTTCTTTTCGGTCGTGTAACTTTGTTGACCTACTAAAAGGATTTTTAATGGTTTACATCTTTTTAAGAATATAATGCACCTTCTTCAGGTATTGATGAGCATGGTGCTCTATGTGGCCAATATGAATTGAGAAGTACCAAACCAAGAATGTCTTGAATGCACATGGAGTATTTCAGTGACAGAAAACCAACTGTCTAATTTAGTTTCCACCATGTCTGCAAACAATCGCAAGCAAACATTGTTGTCTTACTTTTCGTTAGTTATGTAAATAAATCACAAATGTGCACACTAATGACTGGGCACTTCTGTAGAACATTCCTTGAAAATGTAATGGCATACAATGATGTAATATGTTCCTCTTCTCAGAGGCCTCAAACACAAAGCCCGCGCAGGCGGGAGCTTCCCGCTCCCGCCAGCACGGGCCAAGCTCGCAACAGGGCCATGTGTTTGAGGCCAGCAAGAACTGTCAAATTAACTGATTTGTTTTTTTAGACACGCTGAGCTTGGTTAATTCCTGAGCAAACTGAGTAACAAGAGTGGGTGCACTTGCTCTCTCGTTCTATTAAAAATACCAGCATGCTGGTGGGGCAGTGTCATTTTAATTCTTGTTAACACATCAGGTCAGGGCCCAAAGTGGTCATATAAACAAATCAAATCCAAAGCTGGCAAAACTGTTGGTGTGGCTCATTTGGCCACTGCACTCAAATGGGTTTGAGACCACTGCTCCAAGAGGTAACTCTATGAGACAGATTAGCAAGAAATATATAACAGCAAGTGCAGTGATGGAAGCGGCAATCAACCTTTTGTAGCAGGTTTTGTAGGAGGCAAAATATTGGTCTGGAGAAGCAACCGGTGCTTTGGGAGCAGATGTCAGCATCTATATGCACAACACTTGAAAATAAAAAACTGATTCTAATGCAAAATGAGTTCTTTGATAATGAAGGATTCCTCTTTTAATAATAGTAATACAGACATGTATTACTTATTACCTTTTGTAATAAGAATAGCTAAGATGTGAAAAGGAATGCACAGCTATCTTTTAGAAATAGAAGGCCCATTTACACATTTGCAGTGGACTATGACCGACTGAGACGAGAGCTGTTTTCAAGCCTCTTGTGATGGCTTACGACCAGCTGCGCAGCAATGCAGCCAGTCAAGTGAGAGTGTGTGAATGGCTTAGGTCAAAGTAGGTCCTATTTACAGTAGGTATTAAAAATAGCGAAAAATTAATCACCGAGCCAATACCTCAGATGTGATAAAGTCTCTCTTTCCCTCTCTTCTACACTCTGTAGTTTATTTAGTCTGTAAATGTAATTTACATAAAATGCCGGCAGAAACTAGCATATCGGGTAAAACGCTCAACAATAAAAGCATGTCACCCAAGCTTTTTAACCTACCAAACTAATGATTCCACGGTGATGTCTCTTTAATATGGACACCTCCGTTCCCCCAACATATTGTTCATAATTTGAGTCGTGCATAATAACAAGACAAAAATACATGCATTCACTCAGTTTGCCTCCGAAAATGGTGTCCATATAGTGGGGCATTCATAGTAAAGGGAGCAGTATTAATGAGACATGACTAATATAATACACTGCACAAACTAGCACTTACAAATATTATAAAAACTTTGTACGTGAAACCGCACATTAGTGGCATTGTAACTAAAGTTGAGTCAAAGTTTGCTACCTTTCAATCAACTTCCGCACATAAACTACTTTGACTACCATATTTATTCAAATATAGACCCGCGATTTTTTTTCTTTTCTCTGCACAGCTTTCTAAAATTAAAGGTTAAATTACAACCAAGATAAAAAATGTCGACCTGTAATAGTTCCCAGCCAATCACGCTCAAGACGCCAACCTAGGTGCTGCGGTAAAGTTTGAAGCGCGCGCGCTAGTGCGAGGTGGTGAAGGTTGACAAGCGGGGAAACCACCATGCTATTCGCGACTCCAGCGACCTATAGGGGGCGCCACCACCAAACAAACATGGCGGCTGAGTCCAGGTCGCGTCGGCTCGGCCGGGCCGCCTGAACAGGTGGCATGCTTAATTTAACAGATTTTCTTTAGTTTAATGCCCAATTTTATAGGTATTTGAACTGAGACGGTTAAGTGTAGCCGGTGCACATAAACTTGCAAAACATAGTTTTGTTTTCCCGGCGTTTTTTTTCTTTTTTTTTTTTTTCTTTTCATGTCAAACTTTTGTTTCGGAGATTTCGTTCAAAAGCGAAACTATGGGCTCCGGAGAGACGGTAATATACTAATCAGTTTTGATCATCTAAGGAAAGCGGCGATGACTACAGAATTGTTCCACCGAGAGTAATTTTCAGCTGACTTGCATGCCTCGACCATGCGACTTATCTGTCCGCGAAATCGAGCTTTTGTGCGCATCCGCTCTTAAGAAACAGCTCCAGTCGTCTGCTCGGTCAACAGCACAGGCTACAGGAAAATTACGAAAATTAAGCAAGCGCTTCTTGAGCCAAGGACCATGTTAACCCGCCGGCGCCCCACTAAGCAGCTGATATTCGTATTTCAATGCAGGTTTTAGTAGCAATCGAGAAGTCATTTTGATGAGTGGGTTATTTATTAAATTGCGTACTATGTCCCACTAAAGCGATATTAGTATATTCTTCGGGTTGAAATATGAGCTTAGTTGACTAGCTGTTAGGTGAACTGCTGAATAAAAGTATATTTGACAGACAGAGAGATACTACTTAAACTTAGCCAAATGCTTCTAGCCGGCAGCACGGAGACAAACTGAAGAGAGTCTTCATCGGAGATTCACGCAGAACCTCTCTGCATTGAACTTTGCTTCGAATCCTGAATGGAGAAAATTAGTATATTTTGTGGCCGGTCAACCTGAGCAATGCAGGCGTATATTGCTGTTGGCTTCGACGGGGGTATAATATAAATATTGGAGGCGCGATAGATCAAAATGCCGTGACAGCTTCTAACTTTTTGAAAACAGCTTCTAACCTTTTGAAAACAGATAATTTCCCTCATTCATCACTTGCAGCGAGCAGGTTTTCCTGGATCAAGTAATTGCGAAATAAGCCCAACACCTTTAGTGTGGTCCAGAGGCTTTTTCGGCAAAAAGCAGCCAAGATGAATAGCCAACGCACCGACCGGCGTGGGTGTCTCAAACTTGAAGCTAACCGAACACAACCAAACTCAAGAAAAGCAGCTATCGAACCTTCCCATTCACTTGACTGCAACATTGGTGTTCCCTCCAGTGAAATGCCTCGTCTGTCGTCCTCAGTCCACTGTTCCACATCCTTACGAAGAAACCAGTTATCAGTTACCAATTCGTCGTCACTTTGAATGTGATTCGAGACAGACAAGAAATCATAACGTTTTTCCGCGATTCCTCCCCATCCAAGAAATCGAAAGCACACGACCGTGTGTTGTAGAGTAAACGGGGTTTCAAACATGTGATGGATGGAAACAATCGACAGAGGCTTCACAACACTAATGAACACTCAGGCAAACTTAAGAAATATTCGCACGTTCGTCAAATTACGTTGTTCGCCACCGCGCCGACAACACTAATCGGCGAAAGCCGCCAGAGACGCGGAGGGGCACGGAGCGACCTGGTCCGGCTGGTTCCCGGTTTTCCCGCTTGGTGGCGTCCGTTTTGCTGGAGTCGCGAATACTGCAGCCACGGCATGAAGGCATGTAGCAGACATGATAATAAAGTGATCTCAACAGGAGTAAAAAGCTCTGGTTTTGTCTTCTCATAAATAGCTGCGATCCCACTACTTTGCAAATATTTCTCAAGACTTCTCTAGCTCCTGACATTGACGACATTGCCTCAAAGTTAAAATGATAGCGGGGCCACAGCAGTTGGTTAAATCAAAGTGCAGCCGCCGCTACGAGCCA